AATAATGAGCTATCCTAAAAATTTTAAACGACGTGAAATTATAAATTAGCTAAGTAGAGGAAAAATGGGGTCATGAAGGTAAATTACATGCAAAAATTATGCTTTTTTTGTTTTACATACTAATTATACCTTAAAAACCAATCTTAAATGTGAAAACAAGGAAAGTCCCTTCTCACTTGTGGTAAAGATGTCTGACCTGAGTCCCTCAGACAAGGAGGCCCAGTAATTACTCACAACAGGGCTTGGGAAGCCCCTATTTTCACACTTTGTAAGAGGGCTGTAGCTAGTTCTCAATAGTTAATAGATGCTATTTGACTAATAAGATGAAAATTTAAGCATTAGCAGCCACAAAGGGCCTTACTACTCAGGAACAGGAATGAGTGTCTGAAGAGTTCCTTTTGTCCAACCAGAGAGCCTCTTGTCGTAGATAAAAGATGAGCTGTCTAGACAGTGGCCTTTAATAACAGGAATGGACTCTGGATTCTTGTAAGTGTTGCTAGACAGACCCTGGTGGAACGGGCACCATTCTGTTCTATATTAATTAACCTAGAAACTATATTTTTCAGTCCTGGTATCAAATGCATCTCATCAACTGTTATAAATTCAAACTAGTAGATTAAACTTCAGTAAATTAAATGGTTTGGATAACAAATGGGTGCATAATAAAATGTAATAATAAGGCCTTACACACCTTTATCAGGGATGTTTTAGGCATAGGCGATGACATATTTCGATATGCTGCCATCTAGTGCTTATTGCTGTGAGGCCTAGACTGAGCATATGCTATAATGGATTTTTAAAAAATTCTTTCCTTAGTCTCTACAGCAGTTCCTGTTTTTCACGGGGCTTTCTGAGACCTAAATCAAAACATTTTCCTAATACAACGGTATTCATATGTAGACAACAAGTCTATAAACAGCTTTACACACTGTAGGAAGCTCAGTGACTTCTGACCTCACCCATATCTATAGGTTCATTGAATTTTCTTAGCACATCACCCCACAGAAACTTTATAAGGGAGGCTCAATTCTTTCTGTAAGTCATCCGCTAAATTTGAATGACAACCACTATAACAAGACAATTACTATTAACTCACAAAATTCCCTGCAATATGTATTAAGAGTTGAGAGAGAAGGAATTCCTTTTTGCTCAACATATCAAAGAAATACCCTGCAAAAAAACCCCTGAAAATCAGCGAAAAAGGCTGACTAAATTGCATCCCTGAGCTCCCTGAAGCGTAAAGGAAATTCTTAGGGGCCCAAGGAGAAGAGAGAACCAGAACAAGGGTGGGAAGCGGGGACTGAAGGCATTTCTACCCCAGGGTATTTGCTGATAGCCTGAACTGCAGTCCTAGAATGCAATGGCCTCCCAAAACATAGGACAGGAGGCCTTGTCACTGCGGGAATTAAGAGCTTTGCATAAAACTGGACCCCTCAGAAGACTGCACCGGTCAGAGGAGACAAGGAGGCGTGAAGGTCTGTGCTAAAACTTGGGTAGAAAGAACCCATCCCTCCGAATTATAAACAGAGCCTCTCCTACGCGGGATTCGGTCAAATTTATACTAACCTGGTAGGTTGTATATGGGGTATAAGAAAAGGAGAAATGTCAAAGGTTACTCCAAGGTGTTTCGATTTGGCTTGAACAACCGGAAAAATGGAGTTGCTACTACGTGAGATAGAGAAAGCTTCAAGTGGGGTTTGTCTGAGGAGGCAGAAGATTAGAAGTTCATCGTCAGAAACCTAAGTTTGAGATGCCTGTGAGACATCTAAATGGAAACATCTGAGATCTTCCTCGACTTACGATGAGGAATCGATAAACCCATTGTAAGTTGAAAACATCGTAGGTTGAAAAAGCATTAAATCCCCCTAACCTACTGAACGTTCTAGCTTAGCCTCACCGGCCTTAAAAGTGCTCAGAACACTTACATGAGCCTGCAGCTGGGCAAAATCATTTATCACAAAGCCTATTTTATAGTAAGTGTTGAGTATCTCATGTAATTTATTGAATACGATACAGAAAGTGAAAAACGGAGTGGTTGGATGGATATGGAATGGTTGTACGTGTATCAGTTGTTTACGCTATGATGGCTGACTGGGAGCTGGGGCTCGTAGTGCATCCCAGCATCATGAAAGAGGATTGGACTGCATATTGCTAGCCCGGGAAAGGAGCACAATTCACAATTCCAAGTACAGTTTCTACTGAGTGCATGTGGCTTCCACACCACCACGAAGTCAAAAAAATTGTAAGTCAAACCATCATAAGTTGGGGACTGTCGGTAGTAGGCATTTGGATAAACAAATTTGAAGTTCAGGAGAGAGGAACGGCTGGGGAGACACGTTTGGGAGTAGTCTGTACTACCACAGGCCTACAGGGACTGGGAGAGATCACCAAGTGAGAAAGTGAAGAGATCCAAGAAGTTAGCTCTGGGATACCCCAATATCAAGAGCTCAAGGGGATAAGCCAAAACTAGCAAAGGAGACCTGGAAGGAGGAAAAGCAGAAAATGTGCAATTACCAGTTAAAAAATATAATAGGAGAAGTTACTGCATTCAAAATAGCACCAAAATTATATAAAATACTGAGGAATAAATTTAATAATAACATGAGAGACTTATATGAAAGCTCTCAATGTAAAAAAATCCCACCCTATCACTTTTTGGCATTTATTATAATTGATAGAGAAACTCTGGACTAGAAATGATATAGTATGAAGCCATTAAAATGAATGAGATAGATGTATAGAACTGACATAAAAAGCCTTCTAGGACAATAATACTTGATAAAGGACAAAGACAAGGTGGCAGGACAATATCTGCTGTATGAAGTTGTTTTTATAATTTAGAATATTTGGTATATACATGAAAGAAAGTCTGGAAGAATGTATGAAAGACTGTTACCAGTGATTAACACATGGTAGGCTTTCAGTTTCTACACTATAAATATCTAGATGATTGTTTGAATTTTTGCTATGAGCATATTTGAAAATTATCAGCAAAGTTAGAATTTTTAATGATGTTTATATGGCATACATGATAGCATGGAAATGAAATTATAACAAAATGTTAAGTCAAGAAAGTAGAAATAAGCACCTTACATATAGTATGACCAAAATTAGAATATCCATGGAAAACAGACTGAAAAGAAATTTGCCGAAAGAGGCTGATTACGATTCTTTTTGGGTAGTAGTACTAAGTATTTTTTCCTTTTTTCCGTGATTCTATATCTGTCAAATTCCCTATAATGTGAGTTTTCCTACTTTTGCTGTTCCTGTTTACTACGAAAATTTCTAAACACACAAAGAAAAAGTATAATGAAATACCAGGTATCTATCAGCCAGCTTCAACAACCATCAAAATTTAGGTATACATGATGTGTCATCTTTCCACAATCTATTGGTTTTTCTTCTATTGAGGAAGATTGGCCCTGAGCTAACATCCATTGCCAATCTTCCTCTTTTTGCTTGAGGAAGATAGTCACTGAGCTAACATCTGTGCCAATCTTCCTCTACTTTGTATGTGGGATGCCCCCACAGAATGGCTTGATGAGCAGTGTGGAGGTCCACGCCCAGGATCCGAACCCAAGAACTGCAGGCTGCTGAAGCAGAGTGCACAAACGTAACCACTACACCACCAGGCCAGCCCCACAATCTGTTCTTTTTTTCTGGAATATTTTAAAGTAAATCTCAGACATCTTGTCATTCTATTCTATGTACTTTAAAAAGTCATATTCTTATATAACCACAATACCATTATTTCATCTATTAAGAAATTAAGAAAGATTCCTTAATAACATTGAATACTAAGGCCATATTGAAAAATCTCTGATTGCCTCCGACTTGTCTTTATACAGTCGGTTTGTTCTGAAGGAGAATCCAAACAAGGTCCACTCACTGCATTCTGTTATGCCTCCAGAATCCCACTCCAGCAGTATTAGAGACGGAGTTGGGTCCCCCACAAATTCATATATTGAAGTCCTAACCCCCAGGACCTCAGAATGAGCCCGGATTGACAGATAAGGCTTTCAAGGAGGTGATTACATTAAAATTAGGTCATTAGGGTGGGCCCTAATCCAATATGACTGATGTCTTGCTAAGAAGAAGAGATTAGGACACAGAGGGAAGACCATGTGAGGACACAGGGAGAAGACGGCCATCCACAAGCCAAGGAGACAGGCCTCGGAAGACACTGACCCTGCAGATGCCTTGATCTCTGATTTCTAACCTCCAGAACTGTGAGAAAGTAAGTTTCTGTTGTTTAAGCCAGCCAGTCTGTGGTCCTTTGTATGGCAGCTCTAGCAAACTAATACAAGCAGTAAGGCCAATATCTGTTCTGATCAGTGAATGCACGTCCTGTACTGGGGATTAAACATTTTGTATAAGAACCACATTTATGTTTTATTCAATAAACTCTATTATTTATTAAATGTTTAGAATACATAAATCTATTTTCATGAATGGCTGGCCAATTTTATTATTACTACCACCACAACTCTCTTAATTGCTTGTCCCTCCTAGGACCAGGAGAGTGACTTCAGTCTTGCAGTCTTCATATCTGCCTTCTCCAGTGGGAATGGGGCTCATTGATATGTTTACTATATACTCAACTGCTTACTGGATATACTCCAGTGAAACTAAACATTTTTTCCTCCATACCTGCTCTTCCTGGCTTTCCATTGTTAATTAATTAGCCATTCTCCACCTAGTTACCTAAGCCAGAAACCTCAGTATCTTTAAAATATTTTTGCAATTTTAAAATACGTTTAAACTTACAGAAAAATTGCAAGATTATAAAGAACTTCTAGATATCTATGTATCTAGATAGATAAAGATATATAGATACATAGAAAGGAGACACAGACACACACACACTTTTATCTATATTTATTTCTGTATGTGTTTACGTATGTATTGAAAACTGTGAGTTCACACTGACATATCTGATTCCAATCCATTACCACCACAAGGGTCATTCCAGAACTCCTCCTTTCCCTGTTTGTAACTCCCTTCTCCTGTAGGGAGAAACTCAGCTCCCATTAGCCTCAGTATTTATTTCCTCACTCCCCTTTCATATAAACTTCATGGCCCTGACATGCTTGCCGCTTCTTCACTTGGCAAGGAGAAGAGGGGGAGCTGGTCATCATTTTTCATGCCTTCCTATCACTCACTCCTCCATCCAATCAATCCATGACCAAGTCCTGACATTTCTACCTCCTAAAAAATCTCTTGAATTTGTGCATTTCTGCCCACTCTGACTGCTCCTACCCTTGCCCATACCACCATCATCTCTTACATGGATTGCAGCAACACCATCTTAACTGATATTCCTGGATTTAGATTTGCTTTCTTCCTATCCATTTTTTCACACTACAGCCAGGGATATCCTTCTGAGGTTAAAATTTGATCATTTTACTCCATGAAAAACCCTTCCGTGGTACCTCACGACCTCAGGATACTGAGTCTCTTCAGAACTTGCTTCTCTCTCTTACCTTCCTTCCTCCCCCCCCAGCCTCATTCTTGACCTTTCATTCAGCCATGCTGAATTTATTTCACTTCTTGGATTATGCCAAGCTTTCTTTTAATGAGCCCTGCTGTACTCGACCTTTCTCTACCCAGAAGCCCTTCCCAATCTGGACAACTCTGCTCATTTTCCAGGTCTTTACTCAAATGTCACTTGTGCTATGAAACATTCCCTGACAACCTCCCCCTCCCTCAACTACACCTCTGCAAGCTATTGTGAAGGTCCAGGTACGAGAGGGCAACAGGTGTACATCTCATTCAGGCTGATAGGCTGGGGAAGGTGTAATGAAAATACCTGACTGAGAATGAACAGAGTCGTAACCTCTCTATGTAAAAGTGGGCACTTACATCACACTTCTGAGGATGAATGAAAAGTACGTAAAACACCTACAATGCACAGCTCCTTGGAGGAGCTCAGTATATGTCATCTATTATCCGTTTGACAAATGTTCATGAAGTACCATTTGATAGATACTATGGTAGATGCTGAGGCTAGAAAAATTAAAATACGATGTAAACGATTGAAAGATAACGTGTAGAATGAGTGTCCAAAGCATAATAGGATATACAGCAGGAGCGTTTGGAGGTGCTAGTCAACATGGCTAAGATTCAAAGGATGGACACCATTTCACGCTGAGACACGCAGGAGTATTCACAAGGAAGGATTTTCAGGGAGAGGGGATAATGTGCGCAAGATCAGGGGCATGAGAGGCCTGGGTCGTTCTGCATGGGACACGTCACGCCATACCGCCGCAGCACAGAACTGGAAGGAGGCAATGAGACATAAACAGTCAGGAGGTGGGGCGTCTCGCAGGATCCTACGGATCTCTGAAGAGTTTTCAGGAGGAGGGTGGCATGATCGGATTTCCGTTTGAGCGAGGTCGGAGTAGGGGGGAGAACAGAATTCCGGGTCAAAACTGGAGTCGGGTGCCTGGCAGAGGCCCCCCACGCTGACCCTGGCGAGCAGGATGCAGGTGGGCGGGAGCGGCGGGCGCTGGGCCGGATGGGCCATCCCCTGGGTGTCAAACAGGTGGAGGGGACGCGATCGGTGCAGGAGGCGTTTCGGTTACTCTCAGTGGTCTAACCGGAACCCTGGGAGGACGGCGGTGGGGACACCCAGACAGCCGTCCGCGGCGGGGTCAGGGACGCAGGATGAGCAGGATGTCTCTGCCTCCCACGGGGTCTGCAGAACAACGAGGGGGGCTGCAGGCGTGCAGACGCCGAGGGGGCCTGGCGAGCCGGGCTCCGAAGGAACGCCCGCAGGGCACGGCGCTCGGCCGAGCGTCAGGGCGGGTCTGGAGGGCTCCTGTCGGGGGCGGCGCCAGGCAGGCGGGGCGGGGAGCAGCGAGGCCCGTCTCCGCGGGCAGCGCTCCGCACGATCCGGCCTGCAGTCCGGCTCTCCCTTCCCCACGCAGCAAGCACCCTTGGCTTTGCGGGTGCGATCGCGGGGGTACGAGTCTGCTTCTCCGCGGCGGCCGGTCCCCGACTCCTCCCGCCTTGCCGGGCCCCCGAGCGCGTGCCCGGCCGCAGTCGGAGGGTCCACGGTGGGGCGGGCGCGCGCGCCGTCTGCGCAGGCGCAGCACCTCAGCCCCGCAGGGCCCAGGCGTAGGAGGCACGGGGGCGGGGCGGCGGTTGCTATGGGAGCGGTGGCGCAGGCGGCGCTGACGTCACGGCGGCGCGCTGCCCGCACTGCGGCACCGGCCGGCCCTCAGAGCCCGGGCTGGCGGCGCGGCCCTCGGTCTCGGCCCGCGCGCTGGCGGGGAGCGTGCGCACCGCCTGGCGCCGGCCGTCCGCGAGCTCCTCTCCGTGAGTACGGCGGGCGCCGGGGCCGGGGCCGTCCTGAGGGGAGGGGTCTGCCCTCCCGCTGGGGTGGAGTCTGGGGGCCGCCTCGTCCTGAGGGCGGGTCTGGCCGTGGGGGGCGCCTGGTGCGCCTTCGAGCGCTGCGACACCTTCTCGCCGCGTCTGGGGAGGGGCGGCTGATGTGCTCCCGGTGTCGGAGGAAAGGCGAATTACGCCGCGGGGGTCGTTTCCAGGTGTACAGGTAGAAATGGGAAAGACGTAGACAGTTTAGGACTCCCCGCCGGCGGCTGCGCTGCGTTTGGGCACGGCTGAAACCCTGCTGCCGGCGGCTGTGGCCTCTGCCCCTCCTCCCGAGGATGCTGACGGCCCTTCGCCTGTGGCCTCTGCTCGGGAGGAGGAGAGGATGCTGACGGCCCTTCGCCTGTGGCCTCTCCTCGGGAGGAGGAGAGGATGCTGACGGTCCTCCCGAGGATGCTGACGGCCCTCCGCCTGTGGTCTCTGCTCGGGAGGAGGAGAGGATGCTGACGGTCCTCCACCTGTGGCGTCTGTTCCTTCTCCCGAGGATGCTGACGGCCCTCCACCTGTGGCCTCTCCTCGGGAGGAGGAGAGGATGCTGACGATCCTCCACCTGTGGCCTCTGCGTCCTCCCGAGGATGCTGACGGTCCTCCACCTGTGGCCTCTGCTCCTCCCCCCGAGGAGAGGATGTTGACGGTCCGTCACCTGTTGCGTTAACGACCGCTGTCTGCTTGGGCTTGCAGGGACATTGCTTATTGTGGGGACTCGGACACTTTAAAAACATTATTTGGGAGAAATTTAAATACCCAAAGTTTTTTAAACCATATTTAGAATTCTGTTTATTTATGGAGACTATCATTGATTTATTAATTGACTTGTGAATACAGGGTTTTTCTTTGCTTCTTTTTTCCCATGCTGTGAAATTCGGTCGAGTAGTGAATTATCCAGGCCTCTCAGCTTTTTCTCCCTTTGATCGATAGATTATTGGCTGATAATCAGGTGGTTAAAGAAAAAGTAAATTGAGATGAAACTTGTTAATTATGTTAATTTCCCTTCTTGGTATCTGTTAGCAGCACCTGTAAAGGTTTGTGAGGAAAAAGCTTTAAAATAATGGCATATATGAGATTCAGGAATGTCATTTTAAGTCTGACCTTGATTTTTGACAATGATGTTACTAATCAAATATTGGTCATTAATTCTGTAATGTGTTTGCTGTAGTACACCTGAACACTTAGAGATGATTATTTCTGTAGTGTACCTGCTATGTTGTTAAGTAATATTAGCATTTATTCAATTGTGCATTAAACTAAAAAGTAAATAATGTAAATATGTACTTAATGGTGTTTTTATCTGTTACATAATTATTTTTAATACTATAATAATGAGCATTAAGTAATTTTGAGCATCTACACTGTGCCAGCTGCTGTGATCACTTTGCTTTTCAATTTTTCTTTTTCTCCTTACAATAAAGTAAGTGCCATTTTAATTTCCCAGGGGGAAAAATCCAAAACAAGCCTTAGTGAAATTAAGTAGCTGGCCCAAGGCTGCACATTCAACAAGTGGTAAAACAAGAGTTTAAGCTTGAGTCTTTTTGACCCTCGAACCATTATTACTGCCCCCACCCCACACCCCTTTTAAGAAGGAATACACAGATGAAGAGAGCACAGGCCAGGCCCTCCGAAACAATGGCAGTTTGGTGGGAGTCAGAGAACATTTTGCCCGCGTGAAAATTGAGGGCTGAGGTAGAAGGAGATATGAAGGAGCACAGAGAAGAATTATTTAACTGCCCCTCATGGGTAGAGTGCTCCCCAGAGAAGATCCCAGTTGCATTTAGTGTCAGAGGATAGTTGGAATTTGTTAGAGGGACAGGGAGGAAGGTCATGTCTCACGAGAGAGGTGTGTAATTGTACAGAGGCAAGAAAGAGTGGGGCACGTTTGAGGGCCTGCAAGTGATTTCACATGGCTGGAGCATAGAATGTGGGTGGAAGTGTGGCCAGAGAAGGGGAGGTGAACCAAGGCAAGGGGTCGTTTCAGAAGTAGCCATGGACCCAGTGGTAAGGACTTCGTATTTTTTCCAGTGGGTGATTGGGAGCTAGTGAAGAGTTTTAAAGAAATGATACCTTCACATTTGTATTTTAGAAAGTCACTCTGATTGTAGTGTAGATAATGATTTATTTTTTAAAAGGGTAGGGTGATGGAGGCATGGAGAACAATCTTAAAACAAACAGCAAAGTCCTTCCATAGTCTTTTTGTCCCGCAATGCTGCTGCCTCATGTCACTGCCTTTGGGGGTGGGGAAAGACAGTTGGAAGCAGAGTTGTAGAAAGAATTATCTACATGTTTCTTCTGCATGTCTAGCCTTCAATTCATCCCTCCACCTGTGGCTGCCAGGTTTCTGCCCATCTGTAAACAGCCTTGCTCATGTGACTTCCTGATTGCAAATCCAGTAGACACTTCAAAACTTGCAGCAACTTTTGATACCACACAGTGTAGACCACTTCTTTCTTAAAAATCTTTTCCCCTTGGTTCCTGTGATACCTCTCTTTCTCAGTTTTTCACCTGTCTGTCTGATGTCTTTTTATTTTATTTTGTGAGCTCCCAGAATTCGCTTTGGTGCTTGTGTTTCTTGTGGCCATCACATATACAAATGATGCCTACTTCTTCAGCCTAGGTCTCCTTGCTGGATTACTATATTCTATTGGCTACCAAACATAATGTGATTATAATATATATAGTATAATTATATATTTGTATATTATGTGATATATATTTTCTTCATAAAGTAGTAAAGGCCACCATTTTTGAAGGGCTTGCCATGATCTAGGCATTGTGTTAAGTGTTTTAGTTATATATTCTTATTTAATCTTTACAAAAACCCTATATGAGTGATTTACTATTATTGCTCTGTTTTGAAAGATTAGGAAATTGAAGTCTACAGAGCTTAATCTACTGGCAGGTAGAATTGGGATTTGAATCCAAGGATCTGTCAGTGGAGTCTGAGCTTATAGCCACTTAGTGCCCCTCACGCAGCCAGTTCAGCATGCCCGCTCAGCTCAGTGAGTGTCTCCGTAAGAAGTATCTGTTACGGTTGTAGCTAATGTTTGCTGATTGATACTTGTTCTGTCTAAGGCACTGTTCTCAATCCTTTAACCCTTACAACAACCCTTTGAGCAGGCACTGTTGGACTGATTGTACAGGTGAGGAAAGAAATTTCCTAAGGTCACACAAGTAATCAGAGGAGACTAATTATTCCAGGATGTGTGTTTTAAACCCCTCCACTACACTTGTCCTGTACTGTACTATATCCCAATGCATGATGCTTCTGGTCTCATTATTCTAGTTCCAGAAACATAAGAATCATCCTTGACTCTTTGCCCTGCCTCTTCAGTAGTTTTTATTTAATCTAAAATGTCATAAATTCTACTCAAGAGAAAAGAAAACAGATTAAGCTCAATATGAGTAAACCTTTTCTTGGTGATTCATAGTCATGACATAGTTCAGCTGCTTTCCTATAGATTGAGTGACCATGGAATACTATAAATATTAAGTCCTTCTTTATATTTTTTTCTTCTCATGTGCTGTCAGGTTTCAATTACTGATGCTGTCATCATATTTACCTTTGCAGCCTCTCTCTTTTCTAATTTGGGGTGGATTGGAAAGTAGATGACCAGGTTTATTAGATCTGTGTCAACTAGAAAGAGTACATACGGGTTCCTCTAGTAAAGTAGAGGAGTTTTTGCTGTGTGGTTTTAGTGATGTCTGCTTTTTTTTCCCCCTAGTTTATTACTAGTTTTTGTTTTATTTATATATTTATTTATTTGTAATGTCTGTTTTGTCTGTGTACTGGATAGTTGTCACATAAGTTGACTCACATGATTAGGTGTGTTTGTATAATCATTCTTTTCTTTTTAGCATTTCTTCTTAGACTGCTCTGTCCAAAGTACCTCTAACAGCAGAGGAACATGAGTGTGGATCCCCAGGGATCTGGAGCATTCAGTGATAATTGCTAAGCCCGCTTAAATTATGTCTTTTTTCTTTTTTTGAATAGTCTTCATTTTTATCCTTAAAAACGTATTCATATTGTGTTCTAGTGCAGGAATCAATATGTTTTGGACACACCTCCAATCTTTAAATGAAATTGGCAATTCAGGAATATTTATACTGAATTTAATCCATGGTTTTGATAACAATGATGTACACCCAGGTATTTATTTGAGAAAGAAAGTGTGGATGCTTGTGCTAACTTTCTCTACCGTAGCAGCATTTTAGGGCAAGTACAGAGCTATTTAGATTCATTATCTGTGAATATGCTCCTCACAAGCATACTTTACTAATAGTGTATGCTCTTGGGAAAGTCAGTCTCGTTTCTTCAAAGTGTATTGGAATGTTCATTATTTACTTAAAACACTTTTAAAAGTGTATTAACATACCAAGTTAGATGTTTACTGCCTTTCAAAATTGAAAAAAAATTTTATTTAAAATATATAAATATTTTATTCAAATATGGTCCAGTTTGCTTCACTTTATTTTGGACTCTAAACCAATTCAAGTCATTTATGTAAGATTTTGATGAGAGAACTTAGCGTTATTGTTATAAACTTGATGAGGTAATGGACAATGGCGTAATCTTGCATGAAGAATATTTTATAGTTTTTATTTGGAAATTCCATATTAAAAATAAATTCTCTTTGTTTTAATAGGATACTGATTGAGTGAGTGCTTTATATTACAACTCAATACTCTCCATAAGGCTGAGATATGCCCACTGGTAAGACTTCTATGAAATTTATGTATGCAATACATATTATTTATTTATTTTAAAGTTTGGGTTATTTTAAGGGGTTCTTTAACTGATAATGAATAAAGTAGATGTCATCAACAAAATATGATATTTAATAGTTTGATATTCAATTTTCTATTTAATGTTGGTGATTAAGATTATTATGTGTTCGGTGGGTGGCAGTTTGGGACTCAGCTGGACAAGGTAAGTAATAATTACAACATGATTAATTTTTGTTATCATCAAAATGGATGTTTTACGCTGAAGCAGACATCGGCAAATGTTCTTAAAGGGCGGGTGAGGAAATATTTTAGGCTTGGTCTTTGCTACAGCTACTCACCTCTGCCGTTGAAGCACACAGGCAGCCACAGCAATTCTTAACCAAGTGGGCATGGCTATGTTTCAGAAAACTTTATTTGCAAAGACAGGTGACTGGCACAGGAGCTAGAGCAAGGGCAGTACGGCCAGAATGTAGGGATCTACGGGGATATTTGTCTTCTCTTGAAGCTGTGCAGGGAGGCAGGCCAGGAAGTGAGAACTCTGTAGGGCATGTGAAGGACTTGTTTTATTTTGTCTTAAGTGAGGTGGGAAACTCACAGGATCTTAAAGCAAGAGAATAACATGATCTGATTTATGTTTTAAAGGGAAAAACAGCTTTCAACATTTAATATTTCTTGAATGCTGATTCTTGACTAGGCAAGTGTTAGCCAGTTGTCCTACAGATTGATCTTTGACATAAGTTATTCTTAATTTTACAGATAAGGAAGGTGAAGTTTAGAGATGCTGAGTAACTTGTTTAAGGCCATGGAACTAACAGTGGTAGATGTGCTACTGTGCATCATAAGTAAAAGTTAACTTAGCAAAGGAGACTTTTAGAGGGAGTCGCCCGAAAGGTAAGAGGGATACGAGTGAGTGTGGTGTCACCAAATCCAAAAGAAGTTTTTTAAGAAGGAAGGACTAGTCAGTTGTTCTAAGATAGCTGGAGAACTCATGCAGGCATTTACAAGACTGTGTTCTTTCACGTAATAAGAATGCAGTTATGTTTATCATAGAGTTGTTTAGAAAATGACGTGAGTCTTTATCATTTGTAGTGGAGAGTGAAGCCAAAGTAAAAACCAAAGTTCGCTTTGAGGAATTGCTTAAGACCCACAATGATCTAATACGCGAAAGAAAAAAACTGAAGAAAAAAATTGGCAAATCTGGAGAAAAACTCTCAGTGAGTAATTGATCATTTGGTAACGGTGACTTATATATCTGCATAAGATTATGACTTTCTTATTAAAACTCTAAGGAACTTTGGAAATTAAATTTGGTCCATAATGTATGGTAAAATCAAGTTTACATTAGCAACATCATTATTCTTAGAGACTGAGTTCAGTCTTGAGTGCTCCTATAAGAAGGACTTGGACTGCTCAGAGTGACTAGGGATAGTGGAGAAACTCAAAACTAACCACATTTCCCATTTTTGAAGAAAATCAAGATTTTTAATCCAGAATTATGAAGAATTTAGGAAGTAATATTTTCCTTCAGATATTCAATGGCTTGTCTTTATTTAGACTTAATTCATGTGATTCTACACAGCAGAACCTAGAGAAATCAATGGAACCTTAAGGCAATAATTATCCTTTTTGTACTTGAGGTACACTTTCAAATGATAGAATTTTTGGCGGCACGCTTGAAGGGATTAAAAACAGAATTCCAAGTAATACCAAACAAATCAGCACTTAACTACAACCTGATTCCCAGGGTGCTTTAAAGAGTCTGTAATAGTATCCACATTAATGCACCGTTCACTCTTCAAACCTGTCTCACTATTTCACTTGCACCTTTTACTCCTTTGACCATAATCTCTTGTGTCCACACGCACACACACACACACACACACACACAAATAACTTCATGGTTATTTGGTACATAATATTTCTTTGGCAAGAGTTTTATGATGAGTTACATATACCCTACGTTTTACCCAGCAAATTTTATCCTATTCTGTATTTTGTCATGGGACTTATTGATTTTAATATTCTATCTGGCAGTCATCAGTGTAACAGTGTATATTCTCAAGTGAAGCAAAAATAAATACTGACATTGGCCAGAATCCAGCCATACACATGTGAGGGATTCATAGGACACAAGTGTACTGCTGCACACCAATTTAGAACTCCTGACAGAATGGGGCAGATTAGGTTTCCCATGGTGGACACTGCCCTAAACTAAATATGCTTCTTCTAGTGGTACCCGTACACAAATGGTTGGAAACAGTGGCATATGGAAGATGGAACATTGCATATTGTATATGTCCTCCCCTTGGGTAAGGTGGTGTACATTGGCAAAAGCAGAAAGAACCCTGGAAACAATTGTCTGCTGGATATTGCTATGGACTCGTTTAGTCAAAGTGTAGGACCTTATCTTTTCTCTCACAGTCAGAACTAGGCTTTGTGAGCATGAACAAAATGCAGTTTAGGCCAAGAATGCTAAATTAAATGGATAACCAGGAAATGGGCCGAAGGCATGTTCATTTACCTAAGGTCCAGTAGAGGTGTTGAGGACACCCTCGTGGAGGTGACTAAGCATAATCTACCCAGGCTCTCTTGGCAAACGCCGGGCCATTCAAGGTATCTTTTCATTCAGACATAGGTACACCAGGAAGAAATATTTAGAAAGAGGTTTTTCAGCTCACAAGAAGGATCTATTCCTGGAGGACTTACAGGAAAACAACATATTTCTGAAATGATTTACTTTAAGAAGTAGAGGAGGAATACCTGCTTTTATTTACTACATAACTGAGTGCTTTCTATCTTTCAGGCACTCTTCTAAACATTCTATGTGTATTCACTCATTTTTAATACAAACAACAAAATTATGAGATCTTACCTCCATTTATAGATGAGGAAACTGGATCACAGAGGATTGAATGACTTACCCAAAGTTACATAGTCAGGGGTAGAACCAGGATTCAAACTCTGACAGTCTGACTGCAGAATCTAGTCTTAACCACAACCCAATAGCACCTCTTTTAATAAGGTCTGAAGAGACAGGACCTCTTCAGAACAAGAACAAGGAATCCCCAGCACAGAACAGGCTGAGATTGAAAAGGAAGGAGCCTGAAATAAGAAAATTAAGGAAAAAAACCATAATAAGAGAAGTCATAATAATGGCAGGTTCATCTTATTGTTTTATAACTATGTATCAGGCACTGTGATAAGAACATTACAAATGCTAATTCTCATGTTAATCATGAAGTGTAGTTTTGCAGGTCTTATTTTGCACATGAGAAATTTTATAAACATCTGAACAGAAAGCACTTAACAGAGATGTTAGACGGTTTGCCAGGGTCATATAGCCAGACACAGCATAAGTGGGATTTAAAACCACAGTCCCTCCATGTTCTGTCTTCAGTTGCTTCCTTAAAACTGTATCTCAGTCCTAACACAGTATAATTGACACCATGGAAAAATCTAAGCAGTGATGTGGAAGACAAATTTGAGATTGTCTTCCATGAGAAGAATAACATATAGAACGTATATGTTCTATATAGGTCATACAGAAATACTTGACCTACAAGTAAGTGTTTCCAGACAGTACTATGGAGCAGAAACAGGAGAAAGAACATGGTGAAGAAGCCTTCCTGAGAGTAAAAAAAAAGATCTAGGATGAGATGAGTCCATCTTGCATTCCAGGTAAAATTTATGAGATGAGAACTATACTAGAAACTTTTTAATTTTAAGAGAAAAATAAATTTTGTTAACATCTAGACAGAAAAAGAAACATCTAGTGCATTTCAGAATTCTCTCAAAAAACGCTAAATCCAAAAGACAGTGGAGTAGTATTTGTACAGTTTTTGGGGAAAAATTGTGTCCCAAAGAATCCGGTCACCTAACTTGTCAGTCACTTGTGAGAGCTATAGTGAACATATGGAGTTAGCAGAGAATTACTCCCAGTATTCCCTGCCTGAGAAAAACTACAGTACTGTTGGAAAGTGTGTTAGTTCAGTATGTAGTACCATGTCCAGAGTCATGAATCCAAATTAAGAATTTAAGAGTAGAGAATTTGGGGCCAGGGCCATGGCTGAGTGGTTAAATTCACATGCTCCGCTTTGGCGGCCCAGGGTTTCACTGGTTTGGATCGTGGCTGCAGACCTAGCACCACTCATCAAGCCATGCTGAGGTGGCATCCCACATAATACAACCAGAACAACCTACAACTAGAATATACAACTATGTACTGGGGGGCTTTGGGGAGAAGAAGGGAAAAAAAAAAGAAAAATTGGCAGCAGATGTTAGGTCAGGTGTCAAACTTTAAGGAAAAAAAAAAATAGAGAATTTATGATCTGAAAATGTATCTGGATGATCCTTGGAACTAGTTAAATGTATAGAACCTTCTCAATTATTATTTATGTCAAAAATAATTACTTAAGATTTATAGGGGCTGGCACCATGGCCAAGTGGCTAAGTTCATGTGCTCTGCTTTGGCAGCCCAGGGTTTCGCTTGTTCGGATCCTGGGTGCGGACATGGCACCACTCATCAGGCTATGCTGAGGCGGCATCCCACATGCCACAACTAGAAGGACCCACAACTAAAATATACAACAATGTAGTGGGGGGATTTGGGGAGAAAAAGCAGGAAAAAAAAAAAGATTGGCAACAGTTGTTAGCTCAGGTGCCAATCTTTAAAAAAAAAACGAGATTTATATTAGAGAAGTATATATAGATAAGTATATATGATATGAGAAACAGTTTGTTCTCAAAGGTTGGGCAAAGTTTCCTAGCTTGCAAAGAAAATGTCTTGTAATGATTCCTTTTTACCTAGGATGTAGTTAGAAGTTATTTTATCCTGGAGTTTGAAATGAGTAAAACAAAAAATATGTAATATGTTAAATAGATTATTATATTTTCACAGTCAACAAAGATCAGGAAAAATGAAATAAAAAAAAAATATATATATATATATTTTTAGGAAGATTAGCCCTGAGCTTACATCTGCTGCCAATCCTCCTCTTTTTGCTGAGGAAGACTGGCCTTGAGCTAACATCCGTGCCCATCTTCCTCTACTTTATGTGTCGGACACCTGCCACAGCATGGCTTGCCAGTTGGTGTGTATGTCCACACCTGGGATCTGAACCTGCAAACCCTGGGCTGCCCAAGTGGCATGTGTGAACTTAACTGCTGCACCACTGGCTTAGCCCCTAGATATTTTTTTTAAAAAGGAACAAAAATAATGAAATAAAAAATTTAAATAAGAATAGAGTCTTAGTCATGACGATAAACGTAAATGGTTTAAACTTCCTATTTTAAAAAGCAGATTCTAAATAGATTTTTAAAATATCAGGTATTCCACTTGCAACATTAACCCATCAAACAAAATGACATAAAGTTTAAAAATAAAAGTTTGCAAAAATGTAGACAGAGTTCTAAAAAGAAACTTAGAGTTGTATCAATTAGGAGTATATATTGAAAGAACAAAAAGACCTAAATAAAATATGAGCAAATTGAATGTAATCGTGTGTTGAAAGAATACTCTGTCTCAGTCAGATAGAGTTCTTCCTAGGAACTCAAGAACAGCTTAATAATTGGGTATCAGTCAATATCAATAAGTGAGTACAAATAAGTTGAATAAAAATCATGTGATCATATAAAAATAAGGGAGAAAAGCCGTCATATTTTACTTAGAAACAAGACAATGATTTAAAAAAAAAATTTGGTGTTCATGTAGGTGACAATTATGTACCCTCAGGTACGTATATGACATGTTGCATATGATTTCAGTAGTTTTCCATGGCCCCCTTTGAGAAGGGAGAGTAGTCCATGAATGACCTATAGGTACACCTCACCTATAGGTACTTCCTTTAAAATCAGGACCCATAAAGGAAGATCTCTTTTCACCTTAACTAATATTCTTGAAGTTTTAGTAAATAGAATAAGACATGAATCATAAATAATGGTGCCAAGCTTTTCTTCAACTAATGTTTGTCTGTATCTACTACATGCCAGGCAATATGCTAAGTTCTTTACATGCGTTGACTTACCTAATGCTCACAAGAATCTATAAAATTAGTATAAGTTGGAGAACTGAGGCTCAGAGATTAAAAAACTTACCCAGGATCCTATGCTAATAAGTAGTGCATCCAGGTCCTTCTGACTCAAGAGCTTGTGTTCATGACAACTGTGCAGTACTAATTCCCTGTTATGCCAGTGGGAGAGTGGGCAAATACATGACTCTTAGTAAGGAGAACCAGTGCTCATTATTGATAGCCGAACGAGATGAAACCTTTGTAACCTTGAGTTATGAATAAATTTCTCAGGATACAAAAGCATGAACCATAAGAGACAAAAGGGATAAATTTGGCTTTGTGCAAATTCAAAACATTGCTAAGCAAATGAAAAGAAAAGCTTTAGGTTGAGAGAAAATATTTGCAACACACTTTCTGATAAAGTGTATCTAGAACATTTTAAGAACTCTTAGAACTCAGTTGTGTGAAAATAACCCAATGAAAATGAGTTGAAGATTTAACCACTTAACCAACGAAGAGATACAGATAGCAAATAAGCACATGTAAATATTCTCAATGTCATTAGTAATTAGGGAAATGCAATTTAAAACAGTAATGAGATACTATTACACACCCATTAGAACAGCTAAAAAATGGAAATTGACAATGCTGAGTGCTGGCAAGGATGTTAGCTAACTGGAACTCTTATACATTTGGGCATGCAGAAGGTACAGCCACTTTGGGAAGCAGTTTGGCAGTTATTTAAGAAGTTAATCGTTTACTTACCATATAGCACAACAATTCCATGTATGGGTATTTACTCATGAGAAATGAAAACATATAACAGTTCAAGACTGGAAATAACTCACATGTCCACTAATTGGTGTATGGAGAAATAAAATGTAGTGTTTATCCATACAGTGGAATACCGCTCAGCAATAAAAAGGAATAAACTACCATAAATGCAACAATGTGGATGAATCCCAAAGCTTCATGCTGCATGAATGAAACCAGACAGAAAAGTCTAGACAGTATGATGCCTTTTGTATGAAATTCTAGACAAGACAAAATTATAGGGACAGAAAGCAGATCAGTGGTTGAGTGGAGCCACAGCGTGGAGTGTTAGGGGTGGTCTTTGTGGAAGAACACGTCGGGTGACAGGAATGTTTAACATCCTGAGGATGCTGGTGGTTACATGTCCTTAAGCATTAGCCAGAATTCGTTTAATTATACATATAAATTAGTGAATTTTATTGTATATAAATTGCATCTCAAGCTGATTTTAAAAACAGACAAACTAAAGCAAAAACCTAAATGATGCACAGAAAGTAAAGATAAAAGGATGGGCAGAGGTATAATAGAACATGAACAAGTGTATTTGAGACACTTCAAAATTCAGTCAAAATCTAATCCATGAAATAGTAAATTCCATAGAGGTAGACCTTTTCTTTTACTATAGTACAACAAATCTAGAAATTAATAATAAAAGTTTAAAATTTATAAACTACTTAGAAATTTAATAACTATCCCATAAAGCATAAAATGAGAAAAAGGAAATCAAAACCACAAAAACAGGATGTTTAAAAAGTAAAGAAATATCAATACAATGGTATGGAATATATGGGATTCCATAGAATTATTTATTACAGTAGTTTTAAAAAATTAATTGAATAAAACAGAAGCATAAATAACAAATGTAAAGTCATATTATAAAATTAAAATGATGTTATTAGTCCAAACGTTGACAGATCAGTGGAAGAGAGTAAATAAAAAACTGAGCCTCACCTGATTGGCTTTCCCAGGGTTTCATTTTTAAAATCTTTTCTTCTAAACCATAATTCTACTATTTCTAATTTTTTGTTATCTTTTTTCCATTATTTCCTTCAGGAGTGGCCTCGCATTTTGTATATATTGCCACTGCATTTCTGGTACTCACTGAGAAAGTAGAAAGAAAAATGTACGGGTGTTAAAATTTGCGTTTTAACATAATGGATATTCAAGGTTATTAGGTATGACTGTATTCATAGAGAGAAGTCAAAAATAAGTCTCTGAACAGATTAGCCGTGATTTTCCTTGTGTGAGGCAGCCAGAGTTGAGCTTTGTGTCCTCTTTTTCTCTTTAAGTATTTTCTGTATTTTTAATGTTTTGTTTTCTAACTTTTCAGTTAAGCGTGTGTTGCTTTTAGAAACAGAACAGGTGAAAATAAACTTTTTTTTTTAAAGGTTGGCACCTGAGCTAACAACTGTTGCCAGTCTTCTTCTTTTTTTTCTTTTTCTTCCTTCTTTTTCTCCCTGAATCCCCCCAGTACATAGTTGTATATTTTAGTTGTGGGTGCTTGTAGTTGTGGTACGTGGGACCCTGCATCAGCATGGCCTGATGAGCAGTGCCATGTCAGCACCCAGGATCCGAACCAGCGAAACCCCAGGCTGCTGAAGTGCAGCACTCAAACTTAACCACTTGGCCGCGGGGCCGGCCGCTAAACTTATTTTTTTTAAGAGAAGTTATTTTTATAAGGTTTGTTTTTAGGGAAGATTTTTTTGAGGATAAGGCTTCATAGTTTATCCTTGAAGAATAGAATTTGGAAATATCTTTTAGGTAAGCGAAAGAGTGTTGGGGATGGTAAATTATTAGATATATATTGGAATACTAGTTTTTTTTTAAGCATTTTTAGATCTTTTAACATATATTAGATATTTTCTAACTACTTTAACATGGGGATTTTCAAAAATTGAACTTCAGTCTTCATTGGTAAGCTCATTTCTGGGAGAATTCCTCATTTTGATAGTGGCTTCCATCTTGGAGCACTTTGGTGTCATCCAATCTGTTTTTCAGCACATCTCCTAAGCTTTATTTTCCTTGCTCAAAATTTTACTCCTGACTTGTGCAATTGCTTTTTTCCATCCAATATGCTTTTGAATTTCTTTCTTGATAACATTGTAAATTCTTATTGTGGTGATCCTATCATTTTCCTTCATTGTTAATTGTTCTGTTTTATTGGATTTGGTGTCTTTTCCTTCATTGTGCAGCTTCCCTTCAGTGTTTGTTAGTTTTTAGTTGTCTGGTTAGCTATTTGAGAATCTCTTCTCCTGTTGATTGCTTTCAACATAATCTGCTTCTGCTGGTGGTGAGGGTTGAGCTTACCTGGAGACTGCTGCCCTCTTTCTCTAAACCTAGCTGCTCTCTCCTCTGAGTGCTGCCCTTTCTCTGTACCCAGCTGCTCTCTCCTCTGAGTGCTGCCCTCTCTCTGTGCCCAGCTGCTCTCTCCTGTGAGTGCTGCCCTCTCTCTGTGCCCAGCTGCTCTCTCCTGTGAGTGCTGCCCTCTCTCTGTGCCCAGCTGCTCTCTCCTGTGAGTGCTGCCCTCTCTCTGTGCCCAGCTGCTCTCTCCTGTGAGTGCCGCCCTCTCTCTGTACCCAGCTGCTCTCTCCTCTGAGTGCTGCCCTCTCTCTATACCCAGCTGCTCCATGCTCTCAGTGCTGCCATCTAACACATGATGTCACTAACACAGACGGAGGTAGGGACCAGAGCTGTCCTTCCCACTTCCTCAGTTGGTCATCCTCAGGTCATCCCCTCCCTATTCTTGCATTACTTGGCCCTGAGCTTACAGCTTCTCCAGAACCACCTCTTCCTCTGGAGAAGTGTTTCCTCTGGCCTGTGGTTTTCTCTGGTAGTTTGGTAATAGACTTGATTTTCCCTTATTTTTTATCGTTTGGGAATTTTTTTAAATATTTATTTTATTACTAGTAACATTCCTTTCTGATCACTAGGCTTTTTTTCTATTAAAAATATGTCTAATTTTAAAGTAATTTTGATTGGAGAAAGGGTCACAGGTGTTTGCTTAGTCTGTTGTATCGTTTAACTTCGTTATATCTAATACTTGGCAGCATTTTCAGTGATGCATTTGGAGTAATTGCAGAGTAATCCTAGAACTGTATATTTTGGTTTTAGAATGTAATTATGAAGCAAGATAAATGACCTGTGTGTGTTTTCTGTTGGAGAATGTGAAATGCTTTAATTCAGTGCCTCTTTAGCAATTTCTCAAATATTTCTTAGGGTATGGATCATTCTTCCCAAGGGGAAAATAACATTTGAGTTTTGAGCAATTAATTCACTTCTGGAAAGTCATTAAGTACTTTTCTCTGTGTTAATTAATAAGCTCATTTAATCTGAAGTTACTTTTAGAGGTTACTGATCTCATGCTTGGAGAATGAAGTAGGGAGGTGCTCATCAGATGATCCAGAATGTATCTCTATGTTCAAGAAAAAATGAAGTAACCTTCCTGATGTCACACACTGCTGAGCACTGGTCGCTGTGCTTTGTCTGTATGTGACTAAACTGTGCTGGGCTCAGACTTTGTGATTCTGTCTTCTTTTCCTAGCTTGACGCTGTTGGAAGCAGTCCTCAGAAAATTACAGAAACTAAAAGTGATGGTTTAAGTGCTACTGACACGTTTGACCCAGAGAAGAGCATGCGAGTCACTAAAAACAAACTAAGGAATCCACAGTCAACACCTGAAAATCCAGAGGATGTTAGTGTAGAGGAAGACAAGCAAGAAAAGGCAAGTAAAAAGGTTCTAAAAACAGTGCTCCAGGTGACTGCGCCAGAAGTGGAAATGGAAACTCCTGAGAAGAAGGGGGATTCTACACCTCAGAAAGCACGAGTGAAGTCACAGCCGGGTGTCACTCAACAGGACAGTGCCAAGGCCAGTGAGGAAGAAGAACTGATGCAGGTGTACCAGCTCCAGGTGGCTGAAGAAATGGCGAAGGAGATTAAGAAGAAAATAAGGAAGAAACTCAAAGAGCAGCTGACTTACTTTCCCTCAGATACTTCATTGCATGACGACAAGTTGAGCAGTGAAAAAAGAAAAAAGAAAAAAAAGAAAGTCCCAGTCCTGTCTAAAGCTGAAACAAGGTGCTTTACATTGATAAATATAAGATGTCCTCTTAGAAAAACACTCCGTTATTTTCAGCTTTTGGGTGAAATCTGTAGTTTCACAAAGAAAATTCTTAATCTTTCATTTGGACATGTTGCCGGTACAATAAAAGCTAACCTTTACTTAGCACCTTACCATGTGCTAAATGCTTTACAAGAGTTAGCTTGTTTTTTCATTATAACAACTCCGTGAAGAATAGTAATATTATCATCCTGTTTTGCAGATGAGCAAACTGTAGGGTTTAGGTCCCAGAACCAGTCAGAAGCTGAGCCAGAACCTTGGCACCCTTGCTCCAGAGTCTCTGCTCTTATCTCCTCACTGACATCTGCCTATTAAATAATAGAAACCTCATTACTCCCCCTTTTTTGAGTTATACATGCCTGTTTTGATATATGTATATAGCATTTTTCCATTATTATATGAATAACATAGTTCACTGTAGAACATACAGATACAAAGAAGAAAATCAAAATCAGCCATTGAAAGATAATCACTGTGAACAATTTGGTGGTGGTCTAAGTCGTCTTCTGTACACATGCTTATATGTATATGCTTGCGTATGCAATGTGAGCTTCTGTGAGTATATTCGTATTTCTGTGTCTGTCCTTGGGGAAAACAAGATAGAAAATGTCTTAACTACCATAATTAACTTTGTTTTCTGCAGTCCACATTTAAACAACTTGAGGTGGGAACATTCTGTATTTGACCATACTTTGCATTCAGGGGCAATTTCCCCTAATGTCCTCATCTAAAAATAATTCCCCACTTATCAAAAGGTAGACATCCTAGTGATAACAGAGAGATGGCGCATAGAGTTGCTACAGCCACATGTTAGTATGTGTATTAGTTATCTGTTGCTGCATAAAAAATTTACCCTGGAATTTAGCAGCTTAAGACAACAAACATTTATTGTCTGACGGTTTCTGTGAATCAGGAATCTGGGCATGGCTTAACTATGCCTGTGACTCAGGGTCTTTCGCAGGCTACGGTCAGAATATCAGCCGGGGCTGCAGTCCTCTCAAGGCTTGTCTGGGAGAGGATCTGCCACATGACGTAGCTGTTGGAGGGTTTGGAAGATAGCCTTCTAAGCTCACTCGTGACTCTTGGCAAGTCTCAGATCTTGACTGGCTTTTGGCAAGAGACATCACCTCCTTTCCAGATGAACATCTCCCTGTGGTCTACTCACAACATGGCCACTTGCTTCCCCAGAGCAGGGGCTCCTAGAGAGAGGGAGAGATGCAGAGACAAAAAGAGACAGACAGAGAGGCAGAAGTCACAGTCTGTTTGGAACCTAATCTTAGAAGTGGCATCCATTACTTTTGTCATTTTCTGTCTGTTAGTACTCAGTCACTATGTCCAGCCCACATAGGAGGGCATTACACAAAGATAGGAATGTCAGGAGGCAGGAGTCACTGGGGGCCATCTGAGAGGCTGCTCAGCACAGCATATCATAAAGCTCCTTTCTCATAGCTACAATATCTATCACGAACTAGTAAGCCATACTTACTGTTAACTAAGGTTAGCTTATGAATTTTAAATAAAACCATGCCTTACATGACAGTAACATGCAAAGAGTAGTTGTTCTCTTTAAATAATAGTGTTTGGTGATGTGATAAAGTAGCTTGGCTTCTGGAATGACTAATTTGAAATATTTCTTTAATCTTTTTACTTCTTACCCTTTATTTTTTGAAATATGACTAAATATATTGGAAATCAATTTTTTATTATTTAGATGCGATTTTTTTACTTGATAAATTGCAAACAAACCTTAACAGGCTGGTGTCTGTCTACAGCTCAGTGTGCTACTGGGCTACTGCACCTTACCATTTATTAGTTCCTGTGATGCAGATTTTAATTTTAATATTAGCCTTCTGAAAATGTAGTGGCACACTAGCCACTGGAACACAAACGCTTAATTTTTAAATGCAAGCGAAGATTGACTATCAGAAGCCTCTTGAAAACAGAACAAGCTTAGAGCACTTTTTTTGCTTTTAGAGTAATTTAGAAATTTGTTCATCAATCATTTGCTTGGCAGCAGGGCAAGGAAGCTTTGATCAATCCTATGTAAAAACAGACCCATTGCTCATAAAACACAGTTTCATTTTTCCCTGGAGTTTACAGCTCAGTTTAATTTGGCTCACGGGGTATATAACTCATCACCAAGTATAAAACCCGTAATACTTAGCCTCAGCTAACCGTTTTAGTGCATAAGGAAATATGTGAATCTCCCAGCAGGAAATCGTACCGATTTTCGGATTATGTTTGCCTGTCTATTTACTGTTCATTGTGCTGCATCATGAATAATAATAATATATTTGTAATGTTTTGTACTTGGGTTATGTCTGCAGTACATTGCCCATCTCTGATGACGCAGTTGAAGGTGAACCAAGAAAGGAATCTCCAGTTGGAGCAGTTACTTCAGATTCTCATCAAGACGATGAAATAAACTCAGTGGGACAAAATGTAGAAGACAGCATGCAAGATGACACAAAATCCAAACCAAAAAAAAAGAAAAAGAAGGCTAAAACAGGTTTGTTATCCAGATTAAATGAAACATGTGTGCCTTGGTAGAAATAACTTGATTCTAAGACTTTTAACCCTTAAAACTAAATAAAATCTCATCCCAAAGGATATAGTGGAAAAAAATTATCTAATCCAATCTAGAATACTTGGTACTTGTGCTTGGATTCATCTAGATTAAAACATTCATTTATTTGTAACTCTGAGTCTCTATGATGAGTTAGTATTACTTGAGTCATCTCTGTTTCTTGAGTTTAAGTGAACTCGAATGACATTACCTTTGTAGTTGCTGTTGTGGCATGGAAGTTTTATTATTTATGCCATTGAGTTTAGAGCCCCTAAATAATTTAGACTCAGTTACTGAAAGCTATAAATGGCCAACAGCCAGTAAACGTTTCAGATGTTAAGGCCACCTCCCTCTGTCGAACGTGGTATCTTCCCAGTTCCTCAGCCTCCTTCAGCTCCTCTCCTCCTCCCCACTAGTCTTTTTCCCTCTGGCCTTCTATCTTGCCCTTTACTCATTTCTTTTCTTTTTCTTTTTTATTATTCTTGCCTTTTTCCTGCTTACATCCTTTTTTTTCTTTTCAATTTCTATTTAATTGGCCCAAACTTGGGACTAAAGTAGGCAATTTTAGAATTTATGGAACTTAATGTGCCTATAAAATCATCATCCAAATCAAAAAACAACATCATTAGCCCCCTCAAGTCCCCTTCCAGTTTGTTGAGCTAAAGGAGTAAACACTACCTTGACATCTAACACATGGTTTATTTTTGCCTGTTTTTCTACTTTAATATAGATAGAATCTTAAATACTGTGCTCTTTTTTGCTCAAAATTATTTTTGTGAGATTTGTTGTAGCATGCAGTTGAGCTTATTCATTATGAGTTCTGTTTTTGTATTGTATGGATATCCATTGTGCGAATATACCACAATTCATTTCCCTCTTCTGTTGATAGACATCTGAGTTGTTTCTAGTGTGAAGCGATTACAAATAAAGCTATAATGAACATTCTAGTCACGTCCTTTCATGAACGTTGTATACATTTTTGTTGAGCGTTTTCTTAGTAGTAAAGTTGCTATGTCATAGATTATGTATATTTTTCACCTTGATAGGTGCCCCCTGTTTTTCAGACTTTGTTTACCAATTGATACCAGCAGTATTTGAGAGCTTCCGTTGCTCTATATCTTCACTAATGTTTATATTGTCTGTATTTTAAAGTTTTAGTCATTCTTAGAAGTGTTTAGTGATATTTCATTTTGACTTTGATTCCATAACTAGTGAATTGAGCATCTTCTTCATGTTTATTGGCTATTAGGATTTCTTCATTTGTAAGTTTGGTCAAGTGTTTTTTTAAGAAGTGGAAAATTGTGTATGTTTTTCTAATTGTGAGAATATTTTGTATATCTAGATAGCAGTCTTTTCTCAGATTTAAATACATATACACATACACATACATATTGCAAATATCTTCCCACTTTGGGTTTCATTATTTTTCTCTTATTGATATCTTTCAAAAAAATAGCATGTTTAAATTTTGTGTAGCCCAATTTATCCATTTTTTTCCTTTTATGTTAAGTACTTTCTGCGATTTGTTTAAGAAATCTTTCCCAAGTCTTCAAGATGTTTTTCTATACATTATTTTCTAAGTTCCTTGTTTCACTTTTCATATTTAGATCCGCACTTCATCTGGAATTGCTTTTGTATATGGTGAGCGGTAGTGGTCAAGCCCCATTTTTCTCCCCGTGTGAATATGTAATTGACCTAGTACCATTTATGAAGAGAGCATCTCTTTCTCTGTATTGCAGGGTCACTTTTATCATAAATAGGATGACTGTGTAAATGGGTCAGTTTCAGGAGTCTCTGTTCTGGTACGTTAGACAGAATGCACCAGCACCACCTTGTAATTTCTGTGGCTTTATTATTATTGCTGTTTAGTGATGCTTCTACTCTAGTGTTCTTCTTCAGCATTGCCTGGGCTCTTCTTTAACCTTTGCATTTCCATGTGAATTCTAGAAGCAGTTTCTCAATTCTTCCCCCCCCCCCCCCCAACTGCCCCCCACTGTGATTTTGATCCAGATTGGGCGAATCTAAAGAAATTCACAATTTAACAACTCTGTAAATAGACTTGCCATCTTTGCAAAGTATTGATTCTTGCCATCCATGAACTTGGTATGCACCTCCATTTATTTACATCTTCGATTTAGCTTGGCAATATTGTAAATTTCAGCAGCGTCTCTCCTTAGATTAATTCCTAAGTATTTGATGTTTCTTAATACTTTTGGAAATGGCGTTTTTTTGAATTTTCTATTTTTTTGTTGCTGGTATATATGTAGAATTGTAATTGATGTAAAAAATTTTTAATGTTGTATCCAGTGTTCTTGCTAAATTCATTTATTATTTCTAAGAGTTTATCCGTATATGTTCAATTTTCTACATCCATAATCATACCGTTTGTTAATAATGATAGTTTTATTGTGTCTTTTTCAGTCCTTATGTCTTGTTTCTTTTTCTTGCCTTGATATGCTGGCTAGGACTTCCATTATAGTGTTAAATAGGAGTGACCGTAACAGGTATGTTTCTTTTGTACCAACCTCAGGGGAAAGCTTCTGTTATTTCACCATTGAATGTGATGCTTGCTGTAAGTTTTTTGTAAATACCCTTTATCAGATTAGCGAGTTACTTTCTGTTCCTAATTGGCTAACTTTTTTTTTTTATCATGAATAGATATTGAATTTTATCAGGTGCCTTTTCTGCATCTGTCAACATGATAGTATACATTTTCACCATTTTTTCTGTTAACGTGGTTGTTATATGAATATTAAGCCATCTTTGTGTTCCTGACAGGAGTGGGAGGACTCACGGGGTTGTGATGTGTTAGCTCTTTTTTTTTTTTTAATCTGTTACTGGATTTAATTTGCTCATGCTTTGTTTAGGATTTTTGTATCTGTGGTTATGAGAGTGACTGGTTTGTACTTTTCCCTTCCTGGAATACTCAGGTTTTTGATGTCAATATTTTGGTGATCTCAAAAAGAGTTGGGAAATGTTTCATCTTTTTCAGTTCTCTGGAAGTATTTGTATAAATTGATGTTATTTCTTTCAATGTTTTGAAGAATTTACTGATGAAACTTTTTAGGCCGAGGTTTTCTTTGTGGGAAAAATTTTAAATCAAATTGAGTTTCTTTAATAAATAGCAGACTTCATATTTTCTGTTTCTTCTGTCAGCTTTAATAGACTATTTTTTGAGGAATTTATCCATTTAATTCAAATTTTAAAATTTTGTATGTCTCTAGTATCTGAAAGGGTGCCCCTTGGTATTGGTAATTAGTTTTCTCTTCATTTCTTGATCAGTCTCAGGATTTTCAATTTATGAGTCTTTTCAAAGAACCAGCTTTTAGCTTCGATTTTATCTGTTGTACATTTGTGTACTATTTTACTCATTTCTCCTATTTATATTATTTCCTTCTTTCTACTTTCTGTGGGTTTGATTTGCTGTTCATGTCTAGCTTTATCAGATGGATTCTATAAGATTCCAGTCTGTCTTCCTTTAAATGCTTTCAAGACTTTAAATTTCCATCTAAGCACTACCTTAGCTGCATTCCACAAATTTTTGATAGGCTGTGTCTTCATTATCATTCAGTAAAAATATTTTCTAATTTCCATTTTAATTGATCATGCATTATTTAGAAGTGTATTGGTTAGTTTTAGGCAGCAGGTAAATTTCTACTTATTTTTTTTGTTTTGGTTTCTATCTTCCGTTGTCAGAGCACATACTGTGAACTATTTCAATCTTTCGAATTGATCAAGGCTTTCTTTATGACCAGCTTATGGTCACTGTGGTAAATATTCCATGTGTGCTGAAAGGAATGTGAATTCTGATGTTGTTGGATGTGGTGTCCTGTGTGTGTCAGTAAGATCACGTTTATGTGTTTAGCTCATCTTACTGATTTTTTTTTTTTCAGTCTGCTTAGTCTATCAGTTATTGAAATGAGTATTAAAATTCCCACTAATATTTTTGGTTTCTCTGTTTTTCTTTTTACTTCTGTCAGTTTTTTTCTTTATGTATTTTGAAGTTATCTTATTGAGTATATGCGTGTTTAGGCTTGTTATATATTCCTGTGAAACCGACAATTTTATCATTGTCTTAGTCCGTTTGGGCTGCTATAACACAATACCGTAGACTGGATGGGTTAAACGATAAACATTTCTCACAGTTCTGGAGGCTGGTGAGCCCAAGATCGAGGCTCCTGTGCATCCTGTGTCTGGTGAGGGCTCACTTCTTGGGTGCAGACTGACGTCTTCTCCCTGTGTCCACACATGACAGAAGGGGTGAGGGAGCTCTCTGGGGTCTCTCTTATAAGGGCACTAATCACATTCATGAGGGCTTCACCCGCATGACCTAATCACCTCCCGAAGGCCCCACCCATTATTACTATCACATTGGAGGTGAGGATTTCAGCATAGGAATTTTGGAGGGGACAGAGAATTCAGTCTGTGGTAATGGTTATGTAATATCCTTCTTTATCTCTAGTAATCCATTTTCCCTTCAAGTCTGCTTGTGGTTTGAGTTTGCATAATACATTTCCCCATCCTCATTTCTCCATCATCATCCACAGTGCATCCTCAGGTGGTGCCAATATGGTGGGGGAAGGGTAGCCTTCAAACCTGTGCTTGGTCCTTGGTCCCCACATCTAGGCAGGGCTTGGCAGTACTGCTTTCCTCTCCCTGCCCACCCCCAGCCCCCTGCCTGTGTCTGCTTTGCACCACCTTTGCTTGGACCGCAGTGTCTCTTCATTGCCTTCCCCCTCCCCAGGACATGTGGGGTCTTGTTCCCCAGGCTGCAAACTTCTTGGAGTAATGCCTTCAATAAACGTCAGGTGCTGCTGCCCCCCCCCCCCCAGTGGTCTTGTTTGCAGTTTTCTGTGTCCTTGTATTTATCATCTGTCTGTTAGTTTTCTGTATGGTACACCTGTTTTATCCTCCTTTTTCTTCTTCTCTTGAATTATTCAAGTTATTTTTTTAATTTGCTCCTTCTATTAACTTGTTAATTATACATTCTTCTACTGTTTTTTTCGTCATTACCCTGGAGAACATTGTTTATTCCTGACTTCTTATAGTCTAATATAAATTAACTCCCTAACAAAACACACTTCCCTCACACTGCTGGAACATTAGACTAGTTTAACTCCATTTGACTTTTGTCAGCACTTTTTCTGCATCTCTCCCTCTCCTGCCTATAAGTTCTTATGTGTTTTAGTTCTACACATATTTTAAACTTCATAGATATTACAGTTACCATTTTGTACAGTGGATACTAATTTAATCACTCCACAATTTACTTTTTCCTTAATGAATTTTCATTTTTTTTAATTTTTCATCTGCTTGAACTCAGTTTAGCATTTCTCTTAGTACAGGCCTACTAATTCACTCAGATTTTGTTAAAATGCCTTTACTTTACCTTCATTTTAAAGCACATTTGTTAGTATGGATTTTAGGTTGCAAGTTATTTTCTTTTAGTGCTTTAAATAAATCTTACCATTGTCTCTGGCTTCCGTCATTTATGTTCCCAAATGCAGTTTTATTTGTCTCCCTTTGAAGGGATTGTGTCTTCCCGCACCCCCCCCCCCCCGCTACCCTTTAGATTTTCCTTTTGTCTTTGTTTGAGTGTTTTATCATGCTGTGCCTCAATATGGTGTTGTTGGAATTTACCCTGCTTAGGGTTTACTGGTTGATATTGGTTTATCACCTGTGGAAAATTCTTAGTGATTATTTCTTCGCACATGGCTTCTTCACCACTCTCTCCTCTTTTTCTAGGTTATAAGTTCACATATGTTCTTTTGCATGTATACATAGGTTTCTTATGCATGTTTCCACAGGTTTCTTATGTTTTTCTCCCCTTGGTTTTTTTTTTTTCCTCATTATGCTTCATTTGGGATATTGATCTTTCTTCTGGTTCGCTAATCATGTCTTCCTTTGCATTCGGTATACTATTAGACACATCTATTGTGTTCTTAATTTCAGTGGTATTTTTCAGTTCTAGAATGCCTGTTTGTTCCTTATGGATTCCAATTCTCTGTAGATAATCTCCATTTTTAAAGATTATTTTGTCCATCTTTTCCTTTGTTTTCTTGAGCATATTAGTCATAGTTGTTTAAAGTACTTGTGTGCTAACTCCCATCTGGGTCATCTGTGGGTCTGCTTCTGTTTTCTGTTTTTTTCTCTTGGTTATTGGTTATGTAGTCTTGCCTCTTTTATGCCTAGAAACTTTTTATTGTATGCTGGACATTGTGTATAGAATCCTAGAGGCTCCAGATGATTTGATCTTCCACTAGAGAGGGTTTCCTCTTTCTTCTCCTAGGCAGATAGGGTGGATAGCTGATTTCAGCCAGTCAGGAATTGAGCTGGGTCAAGGCTGAATTGTAGTTTGGTAAGACTCTCTCTCTGATTTGCCCCATTCCTAGGATGTGGCCCTCCAGGTGTTTCAAATTGAAAGCCTGGCAGGGATCTCCCTCTCAGCCGTAAAAGACTGTGGGAGATTCAATGTTGCCCTTCAGAGGTTTGCACCTTAGTCCTTTAGCCTTCTGCCCCATGCAGCTTCAAAATTTGGCAAGTGTCTTGAGGGGTAGACTGGCCATGAGTTTGAGGCCCCTCAAGTCTCCAATTTTGTCACTCCAGCCCCGCGTGAACGCCAAAATCTCTGCTGGTTTCTCTGTCCCCCAGTAGGGACCTTCTGCCAGGGGCCACGCCTGGATTCTCAGCCTCTAGCTGCGCCCAGGATTGGTAAGTGACCCCAGGTGAAAAGTGGCTATAGGGATAAATTGACCAGGCCCTCTGGGGCTTCATCTTTGCCTGTTTTGTTTCAGGCCCCCCCTCCTGGCAGGTCATTGTTTCCTAGAACCACAAGACTGGGAGATTTCACTGCCTCTTTAGCTTCTTCTATAGCCTCAGGATTCAGTTTTGTGAGGAAAATTGGCTATGTGTTTGAGGCTCCTCAAATCTCCAATTTTATATTGCTAGCCCCATGCAACTACTGAAAGTTTTCCTGGTTATTCTTTCTCCCAGTAGTGACCCGTTGCCTGGGCCAAACCCTCATCCTCAGTCTGTACCCTGAATCAGCAAATGTCCCGAGAGACTAAAACAGCTGCCCGTCCATCGGCTTTCCTCTGAATGATTCTCCCTCTCTGGAATTTTATTCCATCTACTATACATTGTTTCTGTGCTTTTCTGATGCCTTTAAAAATAAGGTTTTTGTAATTCTTTGGCTTTAACAAGTTGTTACCGGAAGCATTGACCTGCTCCATTCTACTGCATCCTACCCAGAAGCAGAAGTTACACTTATAAATGAATTGAGGGATGTATATTCCACTTAGAAAATACCTGGATAAAATTACTTTTTGGTTTTGTTTCTCATTTTTTTCTTTTTGTGTTGTTGATCCTTGTTAGGGAAAAAAGGAAAGATGCCTCATCCTATTTTGATGCATTAGTCAATGCAATATTATACTCTCAGAGTGTAGTATGCTATTGTCTGTGTTTTTCTTTCTTTTCCCTTGAAGTTTCTTTCTTAACAAAGACAGATAATTATGGATCATAAAGATTAGGTTATATGTAAATTGAACATATATTGTTGAATATACTGTTATGGGAACAGTTAATTCTAACATTGATTTTCTTCCATGCATGTAGTTTCAGATGATAATGAAGACACTGATGGTGACGGTGTTCATGAAATAACAAGCCGAGATAGTCCCGTTTATCCCAAATGTTTGCTTGATGATGACCTTGTCCTGGGAGTTTATATTCACCGAACAGATCGACTTAAGTCAGATTTTATGATTTCTCACCCAATGGTAAAAATTCATGTGGTTGATGAGAATACTGGTCACTATGTCAAGAAAGATGATAGGTAATTTTTTTAATTGCACAGTAAACCCTTGAAATTGAAACTGCGTCCGGTAGAAGTCCTCTTCTCTGCCATCGAAAGTCAATGAGAATAGAGTTATGGCTTTGTATTGGAGAATAATTTACTAGTTGTAGGTGTTCATTAACCATTGATATTGATCAGTATGTTTTATGGAAGAAACAGAGAACATCTCTTAATCTGGCAGTTCACGTTAAGTGGAGGGGAATTGAGAGAGCTTCTGCCAAGCTTGATGACTAATTACGGCATTTAACTTGCATTGTACATCATCTTATGTTGCACACTCCATGATGTTCACACAATGGTGAAATGCTTTAGCTGTCTAACTTCATTTTTCTTTTGAAGTTAATATGTTACATGGGTCTCAGGTGAAGTAAGGGAGTTTCCAATTTCATTTTTTTCCTAATACTACTTCTGTGGCTAATACATGCTTGAAGGCCCACATAAAAAGTAGAGGCTGGCCCAGTGGCGTAGTAGTTAAGTTCATGCAGTCCACTTCAGTGGCCCAGGGTTTGTGGGTTCTCATCCCAGGCACAGACTCATCAAGCCGCACTGTGGAATTGTCCCACATAAAATAGAGGAAGATTGGCACAGATGTTAGCTCAGTAACAGTCTTCCTCACCAAAAAAAAAAAAAGTACAGGAAAATAAATGATTATACTAGAATTCAAAAAAATTTGCATGGAAAGATGGCAGGGATGGAAACATGAAGAGATTACTGAAAAAGTCATTCACTTATTCAGTTTTCTTAGGGAATTCAAAGAAAATATATATGTTGAAGGGGTTATGATCCTCTTGTGCTCATTTTCTTATTTAAATCTACTTTGCTGTTTTCTCACAAACTCATTTAAGATTCTGAAGGAGTTCCTGTGCCAAAATGTAATCATACTTCTCAATTTATATTTCTGTAATAAAATAATTCCATGAAACCAATTGATAGTATGTAAATGCAAGATGATAGTAAGGTACTACCACCTTTAAGTCTCATAAAATTTATAATTTTCTAGATGGACAATCCAAATAATTTTTCCTTATGTATCACAGTTATTCATTATTTCTGGTTGCGTCACCTGGAACACTATATTTTTTTTTCTCACCTTCTGAAAATTATCATAAAGAATTGTGTTAATGGCAGTATCTTTTTTTGAACAGTGAACGGCCTGTTTCATCTTACTATGAAAAAGAGAATGTGGATTATATTCTTCCTATTATGACCCAGCCATATGATTTTAAACAGTTAAAATCAAGACTTCCAGAGTGGGAAGAACAAATTATATTTAATGAAAACTTTCCCTATTTGCTTCGAGATTTTGATGAGAGCCCTAAAGTCATCTTGTTCTTTGAGGTATGAATTGAATAGAGCAATTTAAACCAAATTTTAGTTAATATTTTGATAGCACAAACACAACCTATTGTTTTTTTATTAATTCAGTAGTCCAACAAAGTAGTGTGAGACTTGGATCCCTAGGATTTACTGTTCATAATATGCTGTGGAGACACAAGTGAGGGAGACAAGTCATCGCATATTTGCTGAGCATTTACTAGTGCAAGTAGTTGGCCATTTGGTTTACTCTGTATCATTTCTTGCAACAACACCGTGACAAATTAACTGAAATGATGAATCTAATCTATGTGTATGCAGTCCTCCCTCCTTAACCCATTTCATAGTGTAAACTCTTTAACTGTGTTAGACTACATAAGAGTTAGTGTACTACTTGGAGAAATAAAGATGAACATGCAAAGATCACTTGACTAATGCAGTGTAATATACAACCAAAATGAAGTAGAACTTCCGAGTTGTAGAGGGTCAGAGCAGTCAGGGAAAGCTTTATGGAGTAGATGGCCTTTGAGCTGACTCATTTTTCTAAATTTTTACTACAAAAGAAATCAAAGTTTGGAGTGTAAAGTGATTTCCCCAAAGTTACTCCAATTTTCAATATAGTCATGCACCGCATAACAACGTTTCTGTCAACAATGGACCGCACATATGACAGTGGTCCCGTAAGATTAGTACCATAGAGCCTGGGTGTGTAGTAGACTGTACCATCTAGGTTTGTGTAAGGACACTCCATAGTGTTCACACAATGGTGAAATAGCCTAACGATGCAGTTTTCAGATTGTGTCTCCATCGTTAAGCCATGAAGGACCAGCTAATTTGTATTTGAAGATAGTTTGAACCTGAAATACCACATTCTTTCCTGTACTTCATGTTATCTCTTCATAAGCAAAGGGAAGTAGAGAAAGCCTTTCTTCCAGTTTAAGCAAGATGCAGAATTTTAGCATGGAACAGCAAGGCATGACCAGAGCCAATGATTGATTTTTGTAGAATTACTGGGTTTTATGATCTTTAACTTTCAGATGATGTATGTGTGCTTACGATAGGAATATTTCACAATTTACATCTGTGATTATATTGTATGACTTATATAAACGTGTGGTTTTTTTCAAAAAGGGATATAATTTCTATCTCAGGGAACTCTATCATAGAAATTTGTCGTGTTACAATGTTCTTTTATATTCATTTTAGTATTACAAGATTTAAGAAAGATAGATTATTGGATTATAACACTTTTCGTTGCTTCTTAAGTTTACTGTCTACAGAACTACTTTTTGATTTCAACTTTGTGAGGGTTTTTAAGGACAACTTGATAATATCTTTCAGAATTCTTTAAAACCATCATTCCACTTCTAGGGAAAAATGAAAGTACACAAAGATGCGTGTGCAAGGATATTTATTTAAACATGCTTACATAGCAAAAGTTTTTTGGGGACAGATCTCTTTGATCAGTAAGTGGTTTGGTTAAGTAAATGACGGTTTTTATTAAATTTATGATATTTATAATGCAGAAGAACACTAGACAGCCATTAGCATGATGATATACATATGTATGTATTGACTTGTAGAGCTATCCGCTACATATTATATGAAAATAATTTGCAAAATAACATTGGCTTTGTAGTAGCATATGTACTTAGGAACTCACAGAAAAAGGTTTAGATACACATAAACCAGATGTTAATGTTGATCATCTATGGTTTGGCTTACAAGTTGTTTTACTTTGTTACATATTTTTCTTATATTGTCAGTGTTTTTTCCATTGAGCTTGTATTACATCTGAAGACAGATTTAAGCGTATAAAAGAGAGGATAGATGGAGTCCCTGTTATTTTTTAAGCAGTCTTCCATAAAGATTTGTTGTCTCAGCTGAGCTTTTGATAAGTACCAGCAAGGTCAGAGTGAGAGGCTCTGACAGTACCTAGAAGGCAGACAGTCACTGTGGCAGGTTGCTTGCAATCCACGAGCTTTGACACCTGGACAGGCTGGAGATATGAGAGAAGTCCTCTTGAGAAGCCTAATGATAGCGTGTATCCAAAGAGAAGATCTCCAGCTTCAGGAGGGTGCCCCAAGGAAGGACCCAGAGATGAGGCCAGGAGTCTTTTAAACAAACAGTCCTTTCAAGTCTGCTCTCATACTTTAAAAAAATGATCAGAGCTTCAGAATTCTGTGCGTGGTGTATTTGTGCCTAGACCATATTTGAGGTAATTAACTCTTTGTCTTGGATTTGAAATAAATCCTAATAAAAGAGTTATTAATAAAAGATAAAGTGGTCAAAAAATGGACCCTTACTAACTGGATGAGTTAACTTAAAGGTGAATGAAATGAGATAAAAATGTTTTTCCTCCCTCTTAGGAAAACATTTTTGAGTATATAAATGATTTTTTAAAATTTTAATAATATATTACTAGAAAATTTTAAATTTTAGGTAGCATGGTATTCTGTGAAGTCATTTTTTATACTTATTTACAGATTCTGGATTTCTTAAGCATGGATGAAATTAGGAATAATTCTGAATTTCAAAACCAAGAATGTGGCTTTCGGAAAATTGCCTGGGCATTTCTCAAGGTATGTTTTTCATCTGTTTTAAACACCTCTAGAATAACCTTCAGATTTGATTGGCTGCTTTCCCTGTCAGTTAGGTTTCCTAGAAGGAGCTGTGGCCTGAGGTGAGACTGCAGAGGCAGAGCTCTCTGTTCAGGCGCAGGTGATGCTTGCTCAGATTCCTGACTGTTGACTGGGGCCGAGCATGCCAGGCACACTGTTTGGCCCTGAGGATGGAGCACTGAAACAGACGCACAGCCTGTCATCGTTCACTCAGCCCAACAAATGTGTATTAAACTCTTTCTGTGGGCCAGCCACTGTTCTAGTTAGTGAACAAAGAGGACACCCCTTGGCCTCACGGACTTCATATTCTAGCAAGCAAAACAGACATAAAACCTTGATTATACAGTGTATCACTGATTACGATTTTTATAAATACTGTGAGGGGGTATGAGGTGGGTGATGGGAACATCCTGTGGGGCCAAGGAGAGGTTTCCTCAGGAAGGGACGTTGCACCTGAGCATTAGCTAAATGTTGGCAGTGGGGGAGTGGGAGCTCTGGATGAGAACAAGGGACGTGCAGAGACCCTGCTGTTGGAAAGAGCAGGTGTATGTACTCAGGTGACCACAGAAGGCACTGGGCGTGGAAGATGGAGAGTGAGGGGCCTGGTGCCTGAAGAGACACTCAGGCAGACAGGTCTGGATTACCCCAGGTCTAGGCCACTGCAGCAACAGGAAGCCATTATAGAATTTTAAAGAGCAGCAGGAAGCCGTTATGGGATTTTAAACAAAAGCCTGAAATAATGTGATTTATGTTGTAGAGAGATTACTTTGCTGGGTGGAGAATGGATTACAGAGGGTGCACACATACGTACTGGAAGATTGAGGTAGAAAATTCCTGCAGTAGTCTAGGTGTAAAATGATGCTGTCTTTGACTAGGATGTTTATGCAGAGAGGAAAGACATGAATAAATTGATGTTGAAAAAAAGAAGATCTTAATTTTATGATTCTTTTATTTCTGCCTTCAAACATAAATTTGAGAGATAAAACATCTTGAGTAGTTAATCTATTTTGTATTATCTTATAAAACTTTTCTATTTGTGCATCCATCCATTCAACAAATATTTATTGTTTCTGACGTGCCAGGCACTCTGCTCAATAAAGGGTATTCATAGAGAAATCAGACATTGTTCTTGCCCTCCAGTTCGGTTTCCCTGTAAACATATTACCTGCACGGCTGTGTGCTAGACTGGAGCTGTGAAAACCGCAGTGAGGCACCTCATCCACGTCAGGGTTGGAGAGGCCTTAGAAGCTGCAGTCTGACTGTGGACGGCAGCCAGGTGGCTGTGGTGAGGAGGTGATTCTAGCCTGGGCTGCGGGATCACGCGGTCCAGGATGTCTCCTTTATAACCTGTTATACCTTCTTCTGTACCCCCTCTCATACTGATGTAGAGCAAAAACAAAAAACCCAGAAAGGTCACTTTCACGTAGGAAACATTGCCATCCTGTGGTCTTGTTAGAAACTGCTGTTGTTCCTTTTCTGCTAGGGTTTTTGCAGACCTGCCCTGCTTACTATAAACTGCCTTTGGGAAACAATAATGTACCTCATGGCATTTTTACCTTTAAGTGTCATATGGACTTGTATGTATTTATCCATCTTATGCCACTGGCAGAGATGGCAATCAGGAATTCTCCCTGATCCCACCTCCACTCCTTGTAAAGGCTAAGGTATTGCTCTCTGTGCTTATATGTCTCCTGCATTAGACTGTACGCTTTTAAAAGTTGCCAGTGCTGGCTTTTTTTTAATATTTAGTCTTCCTTCTTAAAAAGGTTTATTCAATAAAAAAACTATTAAAACAACTTATGTTTAAGCTAAATAAATGGCGATTCTTATGAGAAAAAAAATAATCTCACCAACTCAAAAGAGGTCCTCTTCTACTAGACTACAACTTTAAGTGGAGTGGGGACTGAAAGCAAGGAGCACACTCGATGGCCATTGGTCACTGATGGATGCAACTTAGAAAGTTAAACTTGAGTTTAACTACTCTTTGAAAGTGATTTTGACTTTTTAAAAATTAAAACACCATAGAAGTTTACCATTTAAAATATTGATGCTAAAAAAATGGAAAATTTGTGTTTAAATAATATGCATTTTATTCTTTATCATTATTATTTCAAACAAACTTATATTGATTACCTCCTTTATACAGCATCTGGCACAGTAATGTAAATGCTTTACCAACAGTATGAATTTGTATGGGTGAAAAGACAGCTATCAAAAAAATATTTAAAAAGTCATTTGGGTTATTTTTTGTCAAAATGGTCCAGCACTGTGCTTAACCAACTGTGTCAGTGTTCTTTCCTTTGCTTTATAAGTCTAGGGAATTTCAGCATGCCATATAATCTTCTTAAAATGAGTTTTTGGGGGCCAACCGTGTGGCATAGTGGTTAAGTTCGCATGCTCCACTTTGGTGACCCAGGGTTCGTGGGTTTGGATCCCAGGTGCAGACCTGCACACTGCTCATCAAGCCATGCTGTGGAGGCATCCCACATACAAAATAGAGGAAGATTGAGCTCAGGGCCAATCTTCCTCACCAAAAAAGAAAAAAGAAATGAGTTTTTGACCATATACCATTGCTTTATTTTCAGTGAAGATAACGTTTTATTTGAATTCTTATTTTAAGCTTCTAGGAGCCAATGGGAATGTAAACATCAATTCAAAACTTCGCCTGCAGCTGTATTACCCACCTACTAAGCCACGATCTCAATCAGATGTTGTCGAGGTTTTTGAATGGTGGTCAAAATGTCCAAGAAATCGTTATCCCTCAACGTTGTATGTAACTGTAAGAGGATTGAAAGTTCCAGACTGTGTAAGTTAACAGCACATGTAAATATATGTACTCTGTTGTTGAGATTGAATGGTAACACATTTTCCATTTCTAAAAAGATAAAGTGTCTAGAATTACTTTAATAGATTTCTAGAATAGAAAAGTACCTTCAGAGATTATGAATTAAGCCTGTAATAGCTGATACTTAAAAGATATTTAAATGAATTTTAAGTACTAAATGTAAGTTTCGGTGTTAGGAAAAATCTTTTTTAAATAATATTGGTTTTTAAAAATTAAAGATAAAAGAATGATTTAAAGCAGGAGTTGACAAATATTTTCCATAAAAGACCAGATGGGACACATTTTAGGCTCTGCAGGCCTTACAGTCTCTGTGGCAACCACGCAGCTTTGCCTGTGCATGCAAAAGTGGCTGTGTAGACAGCTGTAGGTGGTAACTGAGCGAGTGAGTGTGGGTGTGTCCCAGCGCAACTTCATTTAGAAAACAGCAGGCTAGATGTGACCCAGGCCGTAGTTTGCAGACCCATGATTTACAGGCATATTTTTCACTATCATTCATATGATCAGTAAATAATATTTCTACGGCTGTTTTCCACAGATTAAAATTATAAATGATCCTGGCAATGAATTGGTCCTAAATGATGTGGAACTCTGCTTTTCTTATTTGCTGTGAGACAATTTGGGTCAGTTGTGTATTCTGTAGTTGATATTTAAACTGTGACCACAGGGTTGATTTGCAGTGATTTCAATGAAGTTAAATTAAATCTGTTTCTAAGAAATGGAAGATTTAAAAAACTTTAGGTCTTTATGATGCCAGTTTTGTGAGTTTAAAGCCAGACACTGGTGATGTAACATCTGGTAGGTGTTGGTGCAGAGGTGGAAGCTGCGACACGGAGTTGTTAAAACCATTGCATGTGACTGTTGGAGTTCTGGGTTTTTTTCCTTCCAACTTTTAAGGTTTTTGGTTATAGGACTGTAATTTCAAGCAACTTTCATTTTATTTAGAATAATGTACAAATAAAAGTAGGATCTTTTCTAGAGTACCTTTTGAAAACATTTCCGTATTGTTTGTTTCAGTATTTTTAAAATGATGTATGCTGGGAAAGAAAAAAAGATTAACATGATATGTAAATTTTCTCACTTTCTGTACGTATCTAGATAAAGCCGTCTTACCGGTCTATGATGGCACTTCAGGAGGAAAAGGGTAAACCCGTGTACTGTGAACGACACCACGAGCCAAGCTCAGTAGACACCGAACCTGGATTAGAAGATTCAAAAGAAGAAGTCAAGTGGAGACGGCTGCCGGGGCAGGTGGGGCGTCTGGTCACACAGCTTCACTTAGATAGTTACGTCCTCTGAAACTCCAGCAGGTCCTAGGATGACTAACTTGCTACTTAGAACTCTCAAATTATCCTCTTTTTAATCACAATCTGGTCTTTCTTTTGATTCATTTGACAAATAATGGCGCCTAACGTGGACATAAAAAGCACCATGCTAGGTTATTTCTTTGGGCACCTGGGCAGTTTTATTAGTTTGCTAGAGCTGCTGTAAAAAACACCTCAGATTGGGAGGCTGAAACAACAGGAATTTATTTTCTCATAGTTCTAGAGGCTGGAAGTCCCAAGATTAATGGCTGGCAGGGTTCGCTTACTCTGAGGCCTTTCTCCTGGTCTGGTCTCTTCTCTGTGAGTGTCGTATCTGGGGTTTCTCCCTCTTCTTATGAGGACACCAGTCTTGTTAGACTATGGCCCCACCCTGACCAGCTCATTTTAACTTAATCAGCTCTTTAAAGATCCCCTCTCCAAATACTGTTACATTCCGAGGTATTGGGGTTGGGGCTTCAACAGATGAATTTTAGGAAACACAGTTCAGCCCATAGCAGCAGTAAAAAAATGCAGATTTTTGATGTCTGTAAGAGGTATGTCTTCTAATGGATTTTATTATTTAAAAAATGGATTTTTTTTTTTGTGGATTCATGAAACTTTTTGTAGTGCCTGGCTTCTTCCTGAATCACATTTTGATGGAGATATGTAGGTGTATATTCTTCTGCCACAAGTTGAGTGGTATTTAAGCTTTTACTAAAGTTTTCTTACTTGCTTAGCATATTTTGCAGTGACAAGAAACATTGCTGATACAGTTTTGTAAATCTCTTACTTGTTTCCATAAAGAGTGGAGTGGTTCATTTTATATATCTGACCACTACTAGATGCAATTTATCCAAAGTCTTAATTTATCCAAACATTGCATAGATACGTAAGAATGGTTATTTTCCTAGACCTTTTCACTTTCTGTGTTTCGCATCACATTTGACTTTCTTTTTGAGGCCAATTTTACAGATATATCTTAAAATCATTTTTAAATACTTTGAATATATTATGGAGAGAATAACTCTTAGGCTGTACCCTTGAGGACCTTCCACATCAGTTAGGGAAATAGGAAACAGTTACATTGTTCAGTGTCAGGGAGGCTACAGAGAAGCCTCGAGGAAAGGTAGGTATACAAATAATTGATCAGCAGTGCTCAAAGCATGAAGTGGGGTCTACTGGGAGTCCCAAGACACTTTTAGGGGGTCTGTGAATTCAGTCTGTTTTCATAATAAGATTGTAATGATTCTAATGATTTCATAATGATTTAGTTAATGATTTTTACTTTTATTTTCTCACGAGTATACAATGGAGTTTTCCAGAGGCTAAATGATATGTGCTATCACAAGAGAGTGAATACAGAAGCAGTTATGAAAATCTAGCTATCTTTTACTAAGCCAGGTGTTAAAGAGATTTTCAAAAATGTAGAACAATTCCACTTCATGTAGTTGTTTTTCATAAAAAGACATTTGTGTTAACATTTAATGGATTTGTTACTGTTATTTTTTAAATAAATTAATACATATTTTTTAAATTTCTCAATTTTAATTTCTAATACAATAAATAGCTATAGATATAGCCACATAAACAAAAGCTCTTTGGGGGTCCTCAAAATTTTTTAAGAATGTAAAACCGTTTGAAGATTGCGGATGTGAAGAAGGTGAGCTGGAGTGGGGGGAGAGGGTTTATTCATCAGGCTGGTGGAGCCTGAGCTAGACTTGAAAGGGTGGCCAAGTAAGGGCTGGGTGAAGAGCGATGGGGAAGGGGGTTTCATATGGGGCAAAGTTGTCGATAAATGGGAAAGGACCTGTTGTATTCACGAGGCACTCAAACACATGGCTGGCTGGACACCAGTTTGCATAAGGACAAAGTGGTGTGGTAGGGCAGGCCCACACTGTGGAGGCTCTTGAGTGATAGCCTGATAGTTGACTGTGCGGGATGTGTGAGAAACAGTGGCAGGTGTTTGGGTGGGAGACAGGCATGATAACGGCTGTATTTTAGGACAGGTTAATGCTGGCAGTGGCAGGTAGGAGATCCTGAGTTAGGATACATCAGAGTGAGAAACCTAGGAGACGGCAGTTGTAGTGATTGGTGCGTGAGGTGAAGGGTCTCACCTTGGGGTAATGGTAGCAGAAGTGACAAATAAGAGATGAATACAGAAGAAAGAAAGGAAGAACTAGCGTGATTTAGTGACTGACAAGGCAGTAAAGGGGAAAAAAACAAAGGTGTTGGGGACCTTTCTTGTTACGTTATTAAACTTTCACTGAGTGCCTGTTCCGAGTACAGTGTCAACCCTCGAAGTACGAAGAGAATGATCGTGGCTTTAGTGATTTCTGGCTGAGATGATGAGGCACAAAGTTCTCCTGAGCTATACCTCCTACTCTAGAAGCACAGCAAGGGGTTATAAAACCCCTGACTTTTCCTTCATTTTTATCCTCTCCTTATCCCCCTTCCCTATTCTAAATCTCTGGATGGAGAATGGAGGAAAAGATGGGTAGCATGGTGTCTGGTCCATTAGTGGCACCTGAGAAATGTCTGCTGAATTTTCCACCTTCCTAGTAGCTGCTCACGGTGCTGCCTCCTAGTAATGCTGCTCAGTCCTGGTGCTACTTGTGAAAACCTGGTGCCTGTCTGGACATCAGGGCCTTGGACTCAGTCTTTGACTAGGCCTGGTGAGCTGGACTTGGCCCTCTGAAGCATCCTTATTAGCGATCTAGAGTAATAATGGTTACTCATGGGATTGCTGTTGATGAGTATATGAAAAGACATTTGTAATAAAGTGCCACGTCCATGGCATATAGTAAGGGCCCAATGTATGTTTAATTGAACTTTCTGAATAATAAGAAACTCAGGAACTAAGGCTCACTGAAGTTTGGAAGAGGTAGAATTAGGGCAAATAAAAGTAAGCAGTACTTTCTACAGTAGATGTTAATACATGGAAAGTTTTGATTTCATCTGGCAAAAGGAATGAAAGGTAAAAATTATGAAGAAATCAATAAAATTAGTGAATGAGAAACCAGTAGGAGGTGATTGATTACTTTGAAAATACGTTTTGGAAGGTAGTCACAAATGTTGGTTATTTTAAGAGAGAAAAAGAAAGAGAATGAACATTCATACATCCTGGACTTAAGCTTAGGCCCTATAGGGCATTTATGGTCTCAGAACAAGCTTCTGGCTCAGCAAAAATCACTTATTGGTTGCTGTCATGGAATAAGGGTGTGGCACACACTCTTTTTGTGGCTTAATAGAAGGAATGTGGTAGTGACAGCTTTAGAGTGTCAGATATTGAAACTTTCTCTTCATATTTAATTAAGTGACTTGTTCAAAATGCTGTGTACATTTAGATATACTTATTGCTTAAATCTCAAAAAACAGACTAAGAGTCTTTCTTGTTTTTGATCTTTTGGTTACATTGAATTAAGTACTAGTTAGACATGGGCTGTAAATTCACTTCATTTATGGAGAACTGATTCTCCATTTCAAAAGTAAAGTAGTTTACTATGGTTACCCATCATTCTGATTACTTGTTTTTCTCTTCCTCTGCATCACAGCAAAGGGACTTTAAAAAAAAAAAAAACTCCACCACTGCAATCATTGAAGTTAACAACTAGCCTTCAGATTTTAATGTCTTAATTTATGTTTTTAAAATGTTTGTTTTTTAGGCTTGCCGTATCCCAAACAAGCACCTCTTCTCACTGAATGCAGGAGAACGAGGATGTTTCTGTCTTGCCTTCTCCCATAATGGAAGGATATTAGCAGCAGCCTGTGCCAGCCGGGATGGATATCCGATTATTTGTGAGTACTGTCTGTCTCATCTGATTGTCGTCTACACGGAGGACTGTCTTCAGTTCTTAAAATTCATTGCGATCTTAATTTGAATACCCCACCAGTACCACTAAATTAAAATAGATTTCTTCGAGGAAACTAGCAGTTCTTTTATAATTTTACACTTTTCTATACAATGCATGTTCAGAAGTAGAATGAGAACAGTCAAATGAAGGGTGGTAAGTTTATTTTTAAAGCGTGCAGGAGGATTTTTGTAAGCATTTTCTATTTTAAATATAGAAACTTTTCAACATGAAGGATTAATAAATCTTTGGAGAAATTTTAGTCCAGTGTGGTCAGTTGATAGCTGTGATAACTTGAGTTGTGAAAGCCCTTGGATTTGTTAAGCACTAGGACAGTGGTAATCGGCTCAGGAGCACCCAGGTGAAGACTTCTCATCATAATTGAGAAGTCAGCAGAGAGGCCAGAACTCCCTCTCAGGTTGCCTTTAAAAATTTAGGACACCACCACAGCATGGCTCGATGAGTGGTGTATAGGTCTACACTGGGGATCTGAATTCGTGAACCCTGGGCTGCCAAAGCGGAGCACACAAACTTAACTGCTATGCCACTGGGCCGGCCCCTAGAAAGAGATTTTTAAATGTCTTGAATGACTAGGTCTCTCAGCCTTTAACAAGGGGCTGTGTGTGGGTGTTGAGATACACTTTGACGGCCTCAGCAGACAGTTTACGAGTCTCCTTTTGCCTTCTTTTCGTGTGTGTGTGTGTGTGTGTCTGTGTGTCTGTGTGTCTGTGTGTCGGGGTGGGGGTCGGGGGGATCCCCTTTCACGGCCTCAGCAGGCAGTTACATACGACTGCCTTCGCCTTCCCCTCCTGTGTGTGCAGCCTCCTCAGGTGCAGCAGAGTGAGGCTGGGCCTCAGATCTGCTGCTGCATGCTCACAGCCTTTACGTGCATGTGTCCTCCTGGATTCCCAGGCACCTGTTGGAGCCTTCCAGAGTCCATGATGGCCATCTCATTCCCAGTTTTTCCCTTTTAAGCTTTTTGTCAGCCTCTTAGCCCTGCTGTCATCATTGCCTCAGGCAGCTGTGCCGTGATTAGGTCCTGCCCCCTTGGGTTAGGGCTGTTTCTGAGAGCAGGCTCAGAGCCAGGTCAGCTGAAGCCAGGCCCTGAGCAAGGGGCCTCCAGGGAGCTGCCAGCCTGGCTCACAGTGGTCACCCTCGGGCTGGGGCTTTGGGCTCTGCAGGCCTCTTCTGCCCGCTCTGCCCCTTCCCATGGCTGCTAGGCTGCTGGTTTTTGTTGTGGTTGTGAGGCTGTTGGTTTTTAAGGCTACTTTGCAGCTTGAGAGAGGGAAATGGAAACATGACAAGTTAAAACACCACAGAGCTCAGTGTTCTTACTGAGATTCAACTGTTTTTCTTGAGTAAATGCTTCTCAAATGGTTGCAAGCCTTTGTTGAATTTCCAGACTTCTGAGAAAATTAATTTTGACAATTTTTGCCAGTGTTCTCATTGCTTTTATGAGGGTGCTGATTTTCTGAGGTTTCAGAAGCGCTTCTGTACTGCTTAGTATTTTAAAGGGCAGTTGGTTTTACCACTAGGTGGAAGTAGAGACTTAGGAACTTTGTTGTCCTCTATCAGTCATCTCTTAGAGGGTTTCCCTGTACACGTAACATAGCAGTACCACAATGCCTTGTTTATCAGATTGGGTCTCTGTTAATCCCCTTGCTGTATCTATCGTTTTAGTATAAGATTTTTTTTCTGACAACAGCACAGTTTAAATTTCGTGCTACTTCAGATAGTTAAAATTTTGGTTGGAATTTAATTGATTTTCAGATGAAATAATATCTTTTCCAGGAAAGCCCAAATTATAGAATCTTGGAAGTGAATTGCAATTTATATGTTATTTATTATTTGATTAATGAATTGATTGTCAAAGATTATTAGGAGAATTACTTTGAAGAGATGAGAATAATTGTGGCATATTATAAAATTTTGTATGTGTAAATTCTCATTTCTAAAGTAAATGAAAATCTTAAGTAGATTTGGAAATTTTTATGCTGAAATATCTTTGGTGATAATATTCTTATAGATAGTGCTTACCTTATGTACAAATTATTATAAATTATGAATTTTTATTTTACTGGATTAAGGATCTTCTATCTAGAAACCTACTAACTTTTGAATATTTTTGTTAGTATACGAAATTCCTTCTGGGCGTTTCATGAGAGAATTGTGTGGCCACCTCAATATAATTTATGATCTTTGCTGGTCAAAAGATGACCGCTATGTCCTTACTGCATCATCGGATGGCACCGCCAGGTTAGTGTGCTTGAGAGGTACTTACTGTGCATGCTGTTTGCCATCAAGGAAAACGAAAAGAATATAAAGTGATAGACCTACACTTATGCTTAGTTATGTGTTGCTTATCAAGGGACTGTTGTAAATATGTACCCTACAGACTGACTGATTAAATAAATAGTAGTGAAATCTTTTTTCCTGAAGACATTTTTGTTAAACATAGATTATGTAATATATAATGCTTCTAGTCCTCACTGTATTTAAATGATCATTATGTACCCTGTTCTATTAATACTTTGAGCTCAGGTTGTTAAGTGAGTGAGATTTTTCCTGGACTGTAACTCTTGATGACAGAGACTGTATCTTCACCGTCAGCTGGGTGCAGAGGCCAGAGCACAGTGGTGCACAGCATGCAGTGTAGGGTACATAAATGAGTATGTACCTTATGTTTTAAGAGCTTTATAGGTGGTCAAATATTTGCGTTTTTCAGAATGTCAGCCTTAAAATCATTTAGCTCCTTCCAATTTAATAAGTATCACAATAAAATATTTTGAAAGCTGCTTTTTAGTTCCATTTACACTTTTTTTAGCTACTTGTTCTACCTTGGATGTATTCTAAAGATATTATTAGGCAGTTTTTCAAGATGCTTTTATATGTGTCATTTAATTTGATTCCAACAAATGTGGGAGGATAGACATAAATATTTCCTATCTCCATGGGTTAGGAAACTGACATTTAGAGCAGTTCGAGATCCACTCTGACTTCACTCTTATTTACTTCTGCCTCCTGCTCTTTTAACATACGTTTTTTCAGACTCTTCTAGTGTCTGGGCCCCTTCTTCTATTAATCTTATCAGCTTCCATTTCAATATAAAATGTCTAATTGATTAAGATGTTATCATTACTGTTTAGTTTATATTTAAATGAAAAAATGACAGCTGGTGGCAATAGATTACCTTTTCTAACTGGGAACCTACTGTTAGTCCCTCTTAACAGTGTCCTCAAGAATCTATCTAGTCTGTCTGTTTTTTTTCAGCATAGCCATTCTATCTGATGCCAGGTTATGCTGGAGAAAAGTACATAACCTTGCTGAGGCCTGACTCTGGATTGTAAGTCTTAAAATCACCTCAGCTGTCGTCTCTGTTGGGCAGTGCTTTTACTTATCTTTACTCAGCCATCTTTTCTCAGTCCTCTGGCAGCAGATCCAAATCTCACTGTGCATCAAGTTGTTACACTAAGGCACCGTCCTCCCGCTCTAGTTAGATGACTGGCTTCATTCACAGTGAAATGTAGCCAAGCACGAACTTCCACATTTCCCTCTGGTTTCCCACCTGATGTCTGTAAATCTGCCATCTTTATTCTGTCCACCTCTCAAGAAAGAGTCCTGAGCACAGACACCTTTAAGGCTGATCTTTGACCTGTGCTTTAATCTCAGTCCTTTAATCTACAATTCTGTTGCTTCTATCTCCTACCTCTCTTGTCTCTTTAGTATCTTTCTATTGATTTTGTCCTCTCATCTTAGAAATATGCTCATATCTCCTTATCTAAAGCAATCTTTTTCTCAACTCTTCCTGCTTTCTAGACTATCATATTGCTTTTTTTCTACACACGTTGTCTTTACTTCAGCCCAGTTAGTCTGGTTTTCACTCTCCGTGCTGTACAAACTTTCTTCAGGAGGCCAGCAGTTTGTTGCTCATTTTCAGATCCTCTAGCTAGTTTTAGTCCTTACCCTCTTTGCCTTCAGTACAGAAATTAATTATTGTCCAGTCTTGAAATATTTTCAATTCATGGGACACCCTCTTCTGTTTTCTTTTTATGACTCTGAGCAGTTCTCCTTCTCTCTCTCATCCCTTTTCCTCCGTCTGTTCTCTGCAGATGTTTACCCCCAGGATCCTTTGTTTGGTCGTCTTCCCTGGTTTGGTGTGCTTATCCTGGTCTCTCATCTTCCCTGGCTTAGAATTGCACTTTTTCCTAAGTTTGATCTTCTACTACACCCTTTTATCTGAACTGCCCAGTGACTCCTCAAGTCCAAAACCAAACTTACTGAAATCACCAATTTTTTTCCCATTTTTAGACCTCTTATATGTCTTGTAATGGCATCCTTACCTACTCTTGTCTCCCTAGCTGGGAACTCAGAGTAGTACTCATCTCTTCTTTCCTCCCCACCATTCCTTTCCGTATCTGAGTAATACTGAAGTCTGTCAGTTCTCCCTCCTGAAAGATGCAGCCTTTCTGTCCTCACTGCTGGGGCCTTATTTCGAGTCCTTGTTATGTCTTGCTTAAACTGCTGCTGCTAAACTTCCCAACTTTCAGTCTCTAACTCCTACATCTTTTCTATATTAAAATTATCTTTCCAAAACCATCTTTCATAAAGCCTTCATTTAAAAGATCTTTGATTACCACTGCCCTTTGGAAGATGTCCCAGCTCCTTAGCATGGCATGACAGCCATATCCCTCGCTGACCTTACCTCCTTCTCTTGTGCACTTACTGCATATCCTCTGCCTCACCCACAGTCTTTTGAAATACCACTAACATCTTGTCTTCTTTGACGTCTCCGTGCTCTTCCCTTCCTTACATCTTGCTGTGCTTCAGTGCCCTTCTCCCACCCTTCCTGCCCAACTCCTTCACTCAGCAAAGGTTGCGGTACCTTTTGTGAGCCACAGCGGGCTCATAGTCATCATTTAAAATGTAGCTTACATTTCACCATTTCTTGAAGCCATCTTGGGAACATATAATATATTGTAGTAAAGTATACTTTTTTCTTTATGTAGCTTTGAAATTGATACTAATTTAGTACTCTTTACATCATAAAAATATTGTGAAGGATTAACTGAGTGAGGAGAGAAACATTGTGGCTAGAACTGAAAAGACAGGTTTTTGAAAGATGTAAGGAACACTTACAATGAATAAGCTAAGTGAAAAGGAATGGAATTGGAGTTGCTAATGCTCAACAGTGTTAGAAGTGTGGGTTTCTGCCCATGTCTTCTCTTCTGTCTTTCCTGGGAGTGCTGTCACATGTCACCGTTAGTATCTCTTGAGTAGCTGTTTCCCACTGGTTAGCTCTGCCGTATGGGTTTAACCTAAATTCCTTCTTTAGTTTCCTCAGCATGGTCTGTATTTTTCTCAAATCAGCAGCTCCCCTTGTAATCAGAAAGACTGTTCCATGTGTCCCAAATAGGTCCCAAATAGGCTGTTGAGTCCCGCTTCACCCCGCCTTCACACATACTGTTTTAACTTTCGTATGTTTTTTCTTTCCCAATTCTAACGATTTTTTTGTGTGTTCATCTAGTCTTTACAGATTTATGTGTCCTTGTTCTTCTCTATGATCAGCCTGATTTTATCCCAAACCCATGAGTACATTTCTTTTGATCTTGGATGCTACCATTGCTTGGGCGACTAAAGCCATCACTGATACCAGTACTAGTTCAGTTTTTACGTAAAAAGCTTCATTTTTATAGTAAAATATTGTGTCTATTTTAATTATATTGAGCTGTTTTTAAGATACAGGTGCTTCATTTCTACCTGTTATATAGTATTTCAAATAATGCTAAGATCTATTAGCAAGCAACTGAAGTTTTTATCTTTTAACAGTCTTCTTTATATTCCCTCCAAATTAGTGATTTTGTTGTATCAATAGGTACTGTATTTCACGTAACATATGTTCATTGGAAGTTTTACTGTGGTAAAAATGTTTACGCAGGGACACGTGCTGTGATTTTACTTGAAAACATGGTCTTTCACTTCCTTCATTATTAGTTTGGATTCTTGGTAATTGAAGATCATATCCTGTATTTTAAGCAGCTGCTGAGAAAGCTCATAGAATGTTATTCTTGAATAGCAACTGTATTTTTTCTTTTATGTATAATTTTGAATTTGTGTTAATTCTTAGACAGTAATTAAAAGGATGAACTATAAATTCCCATATTAAAAAGTTAATATATTCTTCTAGTTCAAATAAGTTAAACTTAAAAAAATCCACTATTCTACACTCATATAGCACCTGTCTCTTGCTACATTTTGCCTATTTTTACACATGGACTAGAAGCGCAGAGTATCTAACATAATAGTTTAACCCTTAGGGTTTACTCTTTTGCCAAGACTGTAGCAATGACAATAATATTAATTTTTTAAAAATCATCCATTATTTGGTGGAAGAGATAATGAGAATGTTAAACATAAAGTGAATACTTAATTTAGGGTAGCCTGTTTTCTATCAAAATAGAATTATTTTAATCCAGTTTTACCCAAGTATTCATATAGTAATTTCAGTATGGCTTTTAAGTCTTTGGGATCTTCGTCTTCATGATCTAGGCTTTTAAATTACAAATATAAAGTTAACAGAATGTCCTATTCTCTAAACATCCACTGGAAAGCACTTTGCAAAAGCAATGTGCACAGCCTAAATGAGAAATCAGTAAAGTTTCTGTCTATATTTTATTTTTTATGTATATTGTGCTAAATGTAATATTTTACCAACTACTTGATGTGTTTTTAATCAGTGTCAAAAATAAGTAGGTTTAAAAAAGACAGACATATACAAATACAGTTTTTTATTTTACAGTATAGATTACAACTATAGACAAATTGACCATTATGCTTGATAATAACTGTAAGAAATAGTTTTCTCAAAATGTAAAGAACCCCAGCCATCAAATATGTGATCACATTATTTTTTATTGTTATAAAATTTAGTTTGTCATTGACTGTTGTCACTTGCTTGCTTAAGTCCTTTGGCTATACTGGTTCTTAAAGAAACTTTTAAAGAAATTTTTGCATTTCAGAAGCAATATGCAATTTTTTATCCTGTTCCAGGATATGGAAAAATGAAGTAAACAATACAAATACTTTCAGAGTTTTACCTCATCCTTCTTTTGTTTACACGGCTAAATTCCATCCAGCTGTGAAAGAGCTGGTGGTCACGGGATGCTATGACTCTGTGATCCGGGTATGGAAAGTTGACATGCGAGAGGAGCCGGCCATACTGATCCGACAGTTTGACACTCACAGGAGCTTCATCAACTCTCTCTGTTTTGACTTTGAAGGTAAGTCAGAGAATACATTCCAAATGAAGCCTAGTTGCATGAAGAATTTTTTTTAAACTTTTTATTTCACTAGGATGATAATTATTTAAGCTTGAGAGGGATTTTATGTATTGATGATTGCTTGTGCATATTTAGATTTATGTATATTTTGCTGACCTGAGCATAGATCTGGCACTAAGGGAGTTCTGTTCGTAGCTTTAAAGTCATTAAATTTCTGAACATTTGAATTCAACTAATCTTTGCTGTAACGACCAGTCATGTTCCAAATTTCATAAATATATTTCATTGGATTGGTGATTTTCCCCTTGGTAGGTTTTGGGTTTTTTTAAGGGGCTTTTAAATTAAAGGCTAATAATGAGAAAGATAGGGGGAAAATCCCAAAAGAATATTGAAAATATTTATTTTAAGCGTGGCAACAGGATTTTTTTCTAAAAAGCACAGAAATATATAGAAGGGAGATTTGCAGTTATTTAAAATTTTATCTTAGTGTATGAATAATGTAGATAGTGTTTTAAAGATGGAAAATATAGGTTATTTTATCGACTGAAATAATAAAAACTTCAATAAATCTGTTAAATAGTCACCTTTTACATTATTTGAGACACTAGATACGTAGACTATAGCTATAATTAATTAGTATGGGATCCAGATCAAAGTGATAATACTGCTAATGTACTCAGTTCAACTCTAAGGATGTTAATAAATTGGAACGCATTCAGGGAAGGTCATCCAAAGGTAGAAAGGTACCTGAAAACTGTCTCATAATAGAGGCAGCTCAGATTATAAAAGAGAAGAGGAGAATTTTTTCAAATATTTGGCTAAGTGATCCATATTTGAAAACAGAAATCAGCCTGTGTCACCCAAGTAGGTAGAGATGGGGCCAAAGTTGCAGAAGACGGACTTTCTTTGCTCAGAATTAGAAAGAGCATCCTAACACACAGAGCAGCTCATCAGTTGAATAGGCTACGTTGTAAAATACTCAGTTCACAACTGCTGAATGACGACCTGTTTCTAGTGGGGTGTAAGGTATTTCTCAGTGGATGTGAGGCTGAACTTGATGGTCTCTGAGCTCCCATTCAGCTGTAAGATGGTTTGACTCTTAGAATTCATGTTAAACTAGAACACCTGTTATTTATTATTTTTCTTCATTCTCTGATCATTTGTTGGGTTCTTACTGGGTCTCAGGCATTACACTAACAGTATGTTATTAGAATATAAGTATTTTTCCGGGAATGTAAAACAGATTATATAGCTTAATGAAAGTAAGCAATACAGATACATACTGGATAATTCATATAATTTGTTTGGCTTTGGAATTTGAGCCATATACACGTGCACCGAGAGGCTCATTTCTTTTTGTATTCAAATTCAGGAAAGTGACAAAGGGAAATAAGTCATCAAAAGTAATTCAAAAGAGTGAAGAATTTATTTAAAGGTGATTGGGATTTGATTGTGAGTTGTGTTTGGTTTTTGGCCTTTTTTAAACTGAAATACCTTTTAATAGCCCTCCAATTCATTGATGTTTTACTGGGATGTGTTTTCCCAGTTTCGTATTCCTTGTTTCTCCCTCTGGGTAAGAGTTATAAGTGAGCACTTTTCTCATTTTGAATAGGCCATCACATGTACTCAGGAGACTGCGCGGGCGTCGTTGTCGTGTGGAACACCTACGTCAAGGTTGGCGATGTACAGCATTCGGTGCGCCACTGGAGTGTGACTCAGGTGTGAGACTGCAGCTCCTGCTCTGGGAGTTAATTAAATGGGAAAAATCGAACCACGTGACTTTAACATGTCAGGACATCCTGTTCTCTCATTTCAAAAAAAGTTTTTTCCCAGTCCTTGAAAAGTCAATTATCATTGATTAATTATCCTGTCTTCCTGATGGCTAATTGATGGTATAGTGACTTAGTAAAAATTTTCTTCATTTTGGCCAGCCTTTACTTTCATTTTTTTGAGCCCTAAGTTGCACTATAACATTCACTGATCCATTACTGAAGTTTATGCTAAAATGAGGTATATGTTATATTATATTTACTGTCCTTAAGTAATCACTTATATTTCCTGCTATTTGTATTCTTTTTTTCTTGGTCCAGTAACATCACTCTGAAAACTGTGCTCAGTGTTTTAGTAACAGTGCTTTCAAAATTATATAATCAAAATTGTGTAATTATGAGGGGGGGCTGTGATTTAATGACAATAATTGTTTCATTTGAAATTTGATAAATAGGCAGAAGCAAATAAATAGTCTCTTTCATTTTTAGACTAGAGTGTTTTTAAGGTGGCTTGTATATTAAGCAGTTTTTTGGTGTATATTTAGTATTTTTTAGTTAAAAATATAAAATCATTAAACCTGTTTTATATAAATTGATATAGTTTCTGTCTTACATGCTATACCTTTGTTCTTCAATTTTTTGTTCTTCATAATAGATTATAACAATTATCCTCATTTGAAAAAAAGACACTCTAAATGAAAAAGAATTTCCGTGAACTTTAGTTAAATCTATTGAAGTACATCAACTCTGTTTAAAAAACAGTCTATTTTTAGTTATTCTCATCTAGTCTGTCAGATTAATGAATGTTGGGTTGAGATTCGTGTTGTAGCCTCATTTCACACACTTTGAGAAGAACTTTCTAATTACTTCTGTACCTGAGGGCTTGGCGAAGCTCCAAGACACCAGTTCCAATCATTTACGTCTGCAATACAGAGTCTGTTATTTATGTGAAAAACTCAGGTGTTTCTTTACCTCAGTATAGTAACCAAAAGGCAAGTTTACCTTGAAAATCTGCAGCCTGGTGGTTACTTGAGACAGTCAAAAACAAAACGTTGGGAAATGAGCTGCAGTGTCTTGTTAGTGGCTAATACCCAGGACAGGCTGGAGCTTGCCTTGGTCCTCTCCAGCCCGCAGCGTGGGGAGCGCTGAGCACACTCATCTGCGCCCAGGTGAAGCACCCTGTGCTGTGGCACACCCCTGGGTACAGGACGTGGGCTTCAACACTAGGACTTGATATGATCAAGAAAAATATGGAGGACATCATTAACAGACGCTGCAGAGGCTAAATCTGCCTGCCCCTCTCAGAGTCACACCAACACTGAATTATTAGGCAGTTTTGTTTCTGATTTTGCACATTGCATCTGTGTAAATGTTGCTCCAGTTGCTCAAACTCCCAACAGTGCGTCCCCACCCCCAAATTGTTGTAGTTCAGTTCAGTGAAATCCTCACCTGTGGTGGCAGCATTTGACTTTTTTCTGTAACTTTTAAAAAGTAGCTGACGTAGGTCTTAGTGTCAGACAGTGGTAGCAGGGGCTCAGCTGCTGACTTGAGGATTCTAGTAGTTTGTACTGCCCCCTGCTGGCGCCAGCCCACCTCTGCAGAGGAGATCCTCTAGGAGAGCGAGGAACACAGTCAGACGTCCTGGAGGGAGAAGGCGAGCACAGGGTTCCGCCCGTGGGTTAAGGCAGACTCTCCTCTGACTCTGGGCTTTAGTCTAAGCAGTTTTGCATTTGCTGTTTTTTTCTTTCTCCTGGTAATCCAAACAAGAAGGACCTTTGGTAGTTCTTATGCAAGGCTTGTTCAGGCAGATTCTCCTTCACGTTTATGTCTTTCTTGACATCATTAGTCAGGCGGCATCTTTAGCTGCCTTAAATAACCATCAAAAAAAAAAAACTTCACCTCAAATCACAACCTACATTAAGTGGATGTCAGAATGAGATGCTGACAACATACCTTTTTCAAGATAGTGGAAGTAAGTATGTGAAGAAATAACCTGAGACTGAAATAGAAGTTGGAAGTTAATTCTACACTTTTGAATTTATAAAAATTGGAGGCTTTCTTATATGGTGATAAACAGAAAATGCAACGTTAGAAGATGTGTTTGTAGGAAGTGCTTCTTGTTTGGAAATACACTGCAAAAATACTTACGAGTTAAATGTGGCATTACATAACAACCATAAAGTACATTGTATCAGCTTTATTTTCAACCTTAAACGGAAGTTACTGGGAAAACTTTTGCTAACAATTTTAAAGCATCATGCATAGTGCAATTGAAAAATGGCATTTTAAAATTAAATTTGTGCTCTAAAAAACGTTTAACATTAGACAAACTTTGGTAATATCTTATAATTTTTTTAAATTATTTTAGGAAATTAAAGAGAGTGAGTTTAAGGGGATTCCAATAAGTTATTTGGAGGTTCATCCCAATGGAAAACGTTTGTTAATCCATACCAAAGACAGTACTTTGAGAATTATGGATCTCCGGATGTAAGTATATTTCACTATTGACACCTTAAGTACTCACAGAATAAGTAATGAATTAATTCACATTTATAAAATGCCGCCATTCTCAGCTAGACAGTTTTGTCCCTCACGGAACGTTTGGCAGTGTCTGGAGACATGTTTGAATGTTGATTCTAGTGGAAGCCAGAGATACAGATACCGCTAAGCATCCTCCAGTTCATAAGACAGCCCCCACAACTGAGAGTTATCTTGCCCACAATGTGAATAGTTCTGAGACTGAAATGAGAGGGCTTTTGATTAATGCATCCTTGTTTTTCTTTTCTGTTTTATTTATTAATAAGGCAAATGAAGGGACGTCTCCTTAATATAAAAGACAGAAGCAGAATTCTGGGACAACCAGCCTGGACTGCTGGTGTCCTTTTGTTTTGGTGTTAAGAGTTCCTGTAAAACAAGTGAGAGAGAGCTATTTTATTAAATTTCATTGTTGTGTTCAGAAAGGCAGATGTGGTGATCTGCGTTAGTCTATTCTGCAGTCGCCTTTTTAGGGCTAACCGTTTAAGCCCTTCAGTATTTCTGTAGAACTGTTCAGGACACTGGCATGGGTGCTGTGGGGGAGTGATAAGCAGAATTCGTTCATCAGTTTATAATCTAGCTGTACCACCTACAAAAGAACACACAAAGCATTTAATTAGGCTGAATTGTGAGACCTTCTAGGACTGGAGTCTGTCTGTCCTCTTTTCCTGTGTGTAGTCCATGTCATGCCTGGCAGATTGCGAGTACTCAATATATACTTTTTAATGAATATGAATATGTAATAACAGGATTATGTTTCTCATGGCATCAGTAAAGCTGACAGCTATAATAGAGTCTTCTGTCCAGGGCTCCGTGGAGAGGCTGGCCTTTAGGCTCAGCCTTGAGGGATGGATAGAATTTAGACGATACAGAAGTGTTTTCAGTAGAGTGGAAAACATGAAAAGCCGGGAGTGCAGTTCGAGGTGGGATAATATAAGTCGTGTTTAGGACAGAGTGAGTAAGTCTGTGTGAGTGTGGGTGTCTTGTTAAGGCGTGCTGAGGGAGACTTTTTAGGAATAGAGATTAGAGCAGATTTTAGAAGGCCAGGCCTAAGGGGTTTAGTTATTCTCTTCTTAAGCAGTGTAGCATTCGGCTTAAGATCATGCTTGGGCTCTAGAGGCAAGCTGTTTAGAGCCTAATTCTACCTTTTCCACCCCTTCCCAGCCGAGTGACCTCTCTGACCTCTGGATCTCTTTCCTCACCACTCAAATGGGAGAGACAATAAACCATAACTCTTAAGGGTTTTGTGGGGAATAAACTAGTTTAAACATGTAAAGTACTTAAAACATTACAGCACATAGCAAAGACCCCAGAAGTGTTTGACCCAAGTAACCTCAGGTCTGGGAATTTATATTAAGAAAATAATTATAACAGTGTAGAAATATGTATACACACAAGATTGTTCATAGAAAGCATGTTGAGCGTAAGGGACAGCTGGAGACAGCCTAAGTGTCGTCCAACAACAGGAAAATTCTGAAGATGCATTTAGACAATGATAGAATATATTAAATGATAATGTGTAATCTTATTCTCTGACATGGAAGGCCATTATTCGGGATTTATTGTTGACTGAAGAAAGCAGTAACAGAGCAGTGTGTGTAATATCCTCTCTGTAAACCAGGGATGATGATAGTACCTGCCTGGCACGTAGTGAGAACTAAAATAGCGTTAGCTGTTATTCGTAAGTGAAAAAGCCTGGAAGGCTGTATACCTTATTCATTTATTTACTTATCATTATTTATTTATTCATTTTGTGAGGAAGGTTGGCCATCAGCTAACATCCATGCCAATCTTCCTCTATTTTATTGGAGATGCTGCCATGGTGTGGCTGACAAGTGGTACTAGGTCCGCACCGGGATGCAAACCTGCAAACCCACCGAAGCGGAGCATGTGAACTTAACTGCTGTGCCACCAGGCCGGCCTGTTGTAAACCGTATTTAAGAGATGCTTTAACAATATGTTTTGTCTAATGTTTCTGCAAGGATCAAGTGTTCATTGTGTGATTTTAAAAATTCACCACATGGGAAAAAACATAAGAATATAAAAATTCTGTTCATTTTTTACTATTTTAGTAACCAACTCAAATGCCACTTCCATAAAGTAGTCCCTCTCTGCGTGGGCCAGCCCACTGGTGTAGTGGCGAAGTTCACACCCTCCGCTTCGGCTGCCTGGGGTTCGCAGGTTTGGATCCTGGGCGCAGACCTAGCACCACTCCTCAAGCCATGCCGTGGCCGCATGCCACATGAAAACAGAGGAAGCTTGGCACAGATGTTAGCTCAGGGCCAATCTTCCTCACACATGCACACACAAAAATAGTCTGTCTCTCCACAGCTAGAAATACTCTCTCATATCCAAATCTGCACAGTCCTCTTTCTGTTCTTCTTTTGTGGCACACTCTACCTCCACTTTCTGTTTTACATTGATGCATTTCTTCTCTTGCCTGCCAAATTATAAACTTCCTGAGTTCTGGGACTATCTCTTTATTCTGCATCCATCATGGAATGTATCCCACATAACAGGTTCTCAAAAATTGTTCGTTAAATGCAAATGAAGTATTTAAAAGAGAAGTTTTTCTACCACCAGTCTTTTAAGTGGGCGAGACAGGTTACATTGGTAAAATCTCTTTTGTTTATAGATTAGCGGCAAGGAAATTTGTAGGTGCAGCAAATTACCGAGAGAAGATCCATAGTACTTTGACACCATGCGGGACGTTTCTCTTTGCCGGAAGTGAGGATGCTATAGTCTATGTTTGGAACCCAGAAACAGGTAAATATTTCATTGATCTTCCAAAGAAAAAAAATTTTTTTTTTTTTGAAAAAGTGTGAAAACTACCATTTTATGGAATAATTTTCAAGGAAATTCTGGTTTCAGGTTCTCAGTTATCTTTTTCAAAATTGGAAAGGCAGTAATGGAACTCAGCTTCAGTCTAAATTTGTATTAAATTCTGTTCGTTCTTCTTAAATATACAAATATGTATGTAAATCACGAAGTATTTAATGAGGACTGGAATGCAGAATACAAAATGTTATAAGCTGAATTTGAACTATCGCTAGGTATACAAATGGTTAGACATCTGCAATATATGTTTATTGAAAACACGTATGTTCCTGTCAGTTTTTCATGTCTGAAACTCAATAGCAATCTACCTGAATTACTGTAATTCAGGTTTTTTTCAATAAAATAAATGATTACACTGGGAAGTTCATTGGTGCCACATCTTTGTTTTTCAAAAGAAAAGCTGAAACTGCATAAACTTCTTTTAGCAATAAATTGAGAGAATCTTATAAAATTTACCTGAAACTTTCTTTAAAGAACAGTGTTGGATTTTACCTTGTTTATTCTCCTGATCTTCCCGGTAGGCGTTTCTGACCAGTCGGGTCACTTAGGGTTTTCGTGGGTACTGTGTTTTGATACTTTAGCGTCAGTTCCGAAATGTTAAATCTCTTTTCCCCTTCAATAAATGATCTAGGCGCCTTGCTCTTTGAGTTCTGATTTTCATAGGTTCCTTAAACCTCTTTTAGCCATTAATGATCATACCTCTAAAGCAGATGGTACATCAAACAATAGAAACATCAATTCCCCACCAAGTCTCTCCCAACCAGAGGGTCTTCAGTTTTAGAGCCCTGCGGCTCCCCCGATTCTCCCTGGAGTTCCTGCTCAGCTCTGTCAAATGTCAGAGTCAAGTGCCTCTCTGCTGCTAAGCTCTTTGTCTCTATTTTGTGTCTTTAAAACCTCACTGAAGAGGTTGGATTAAGAAGTGGAAATAGGAGACTCAACAGAATGAGAAATAAAGGTAATTATTTAATACAGTGGTACTCAAAATATTTATAAGTATTTAAGGTTTTCATATAAATAATGTGAACATCATTACTCACTAGAAATTTTTTTTAATAAGTTGCAGAATAATCTTCTAATGAGAAATGTCTGAGGCAGTACAAATTATTGGGTGTCTTTTCTTATTTAGGAGAACAAGTAGCGATGTATTCTGACCTGCCATTCAAGTCGCCCATTCGAGACATTTCTTATCATCCACTTGAAAACATGGTTGCATTTTGTGCATTTGGGCAGAATGAGCCACTACTTCTGTATATTTATGATTTTCATGGTAAGTCTACTGCTTGATAAGGGAAGAATATTTAGAGTATTTTACTTTTAGGCTGAACCAGGAATCATGAGCCCTGTAGAAACTATCATCTTTTGTGTTAACAGAGCTCTCTTGAATATACTGTAGGAGCCATATTAAATAGATTATATTATGGTACAACATTGTATTTTTCTATCAGCATTACTGTTATGGAGTTTAAATATCAGCAAAAGTACACATAATGGTTGTGTCCTTATGTTGGGATCCCAGAGGTAGTCATCACTTTCTTTGCAAATCAATTTAAATAAATAAAATTCACCTAGAAATTTATTTGGGAATATGTTAACTAAATTTAAAAGGTAAATAACATTTAGGAAATATGGATCTTTAATGTTTTCAGTTGAATATGAAGTTAATTTCTTAATCTGTGTTTTTGTTTTTTACTAAAGCATATAGTTTTGATAAGTTGTAGTTTTGAGAGTTTCTTAACGTGAAAAGAAGACAAAAAAATCAAATGTCTTTTTCTACTCTAAAATTACACTATTCTGTCATTCTGAGAAATAATAAGGAAGTAAAGACTTTGGACATGTCTTTCAGGAATAGTATGGCATTTTTAGAATTATTTGGATTTATGCTCTTTTTTGTGTATTTCTTTAATTTCTGTTCTGAAATTAGGATTTCCTTGTTCTGCCCTGTAGTGATAGTACTGTCACTCTCAAAATTGCAATTCCATTTTCTTCATCTATCAATTCTTATACAAAAGTTAACAGTCTTTATTAGTCTCTTTGGTTTGTTTAGGATGTCCATGTGTCATTCACTGTTTTTGCTAAGCTAGGATGGCTTACATACAGTGTCATAAATGCGTAAATATACAAATATGTATGTAAGTAATATTAATGTGGACCTGTTTGGACAGAGTGTTTTAAATTAATGAAAAGTGGTGTTAAGTTTGTTACGTTAATACAGATTGAATTGATTAATGGTTGTGATAAGTGCTAAGTTATTAGATAATTGAGTTGAGTTCTAAACCTGAAGTTCTTCATCACACCACGGATTTTATTATGCTTTTTCAGGTGAATTATGTTAGAAAATAATGTGTAAAATTGAGACGTCTTATTTTAAAGACTTTTACAGAGAAGAAATAATGAATTTCTCTAACACACATTTAAATTTACAGAACACTGTTACTAATGGTGAAATTGATAAACATCACAATACCATTTATTACAAGAAATGTTAGCAAAAATAAACACTGCCTGATTATAGGGTAGGACAAATGGATTTCTCAAGTCATCCTCTGTCTAGATCTGGTATCTAGTTCAAACATGATGTATCCTCAAACAGGTCTGTTCTTTGTACCCACTCTAAGTCTTCACATAAAGGAGGAGAGTTATACGTAAGTGCTTTATAATTGGAACTGTTACGCAGGAAATAGGCAGCACAGTTATTTCCTCAGACTCTTAAGAGGTTTCACAACAGTCTTCATTCAATTTCTAATTTGCTTTTTTAGGCTTTTGAAATTTTTGCTACAAATGCAAGTTAAAGCTCCACTCTTATCTTTTTTCCTTCAGTTATTTTTTGTCATTGATAGAGGAATTTCATCATTACATTAGCCCAGTTAGGTTTGCCCATTTGGTTTTTAGACAATAGGCATTTAGACTAAAATGTCCATTCTAGAAACATCAAGTAGAAAGAAAGTGTTTTAGGAGTTCAAAAACATGGGTTTTAGGCTCAAGCCTCTTGCCTTCCTGAAGCTCCATTTCCTTGTCTAGTTGATGGTACTAATAATACCTGTGCTACTAAAGAGTATTTGTGAGGGTACTAATCATACCTGTGCCACTGAAGAGTATTTGTGAGGGTACTAATCATACCTGTGCCGCTGAAGAGTATTTGTGAGGCTCCTGAGACAGGGACTGTGAAAGTACTTTGTAAATTGATAAGCACTGTGTTAAAACAAACAAGAAAGGTAAAATGGGTTTAATCATGCTTATCCAACCAGTATATACTTGACTTTGTGGGAACTTATGTTTTAATATGCTGATAAGCATCTCTGTATGGAATGGGACTGAAAAAACTTTTTTTCCTTCTCTTACTCTTTTCTGTGGGCAGCCTTTTCCTTTTTTTTTTTTTTTACTAGAGGGTGTACCTTTCTAGGTCAGTTGTATTAGAAAATAAATGCATAAAGTTAAAAACATTATGTTATTTCCATGCTATCTTAACATAGAAGAGAAAGGATTTCTCAGTGTTTTAGAAATTAAAATGTTCAAATAATACACATATGAAATTAAAATTATTTTGTGCAATGTAGTCAGAATGCAATTTTTGATATACTAACACACCTTTACAAACAAATTAAAACTTAAAATGTTTCAACACATTTTCCCAACTCTCTGCTGCCTATTTTTAAAAAGAGGAAGCATAGGAAGAAGTTACATAATGTCAGGCAATCCAAGATTTAGCACAGTTCTTATGAATGGTCTGTATCCTTAAGAAAATGAAAAGTAGTTTCAGACTCTAAAATATTTTGCTCATTAAATACAGGCCCGAATCATGAAGTCAAATAGTCTTTAAATTTTTCGTTGAAAATATTTGTTATTGACCTATTGTAGTTTTGCCTTATATTTTATTTATTTCTTAATACAGGAATATTTTGCCCAAACTTTCTTGTCTGAAAGTAAAGTTTACATGTAGCTTTACCTAAATGTCTTAATTTGTATAAAATTTGAAAGTTATAAAACAGTTAGATGATTTTTAAATAGTATTTGTCAGAGCTGCTGATATGTTTAGGTAATTTTCAAGGAAAATGGAGCAAGCTCATTTTTTTCATAAGTTAAATAAGCTGCGAATGAGACCACAATGGTAGCTAAATGCATCATCCATCTTTCAGTTCTAACAAAATCTGTGAAGAGTCAGCAAGCGTCTTTCCCTGTTAAGCATATGTTCGAATTGTGGTCTTTTGGGTCTTTCATTCTACTGACTTTTTGCTTTTTTTGGTAAGAAATACAATTTTTACTTTCAGAAGGCAGTTTTATTTGCCTGGTGTTGAAAGGGTTAATCATCTAGTAATACAAGATTTAGTCACCGAGTCCCACAGATAATGTCCTTTCAGGATTCCCATCATAACAGAGTGCTAGTCAGAGAAACGGCTTCTGCTGAATTAAATTCACAAAGCTAGACTTTAGCAATTAATGTTGCGTTATTAATCAATCTTTGTCTGCCTCAGTGTCTAGGAGCCTCTTCTACGTTTCGTGATAATCATAGCTAATGCAGGGCACTTCCTATGCTCCTGGTACTGTCTTAAGATATAATACATTTATGAGTATATAAATATGTGATATATTTATTCACAGTAATCTTATGAGATAGGTACAATAATTATCCCCATTTTACAGCAGCCAGGACTTGGGCCCATACAGTTTGGAATAGGAGTCTGTGCTCTTATTTGCTACACTACACTACTTTTTTAGCAGATTTTCTGAAATATTAGCTTTTGATGGTCTAATCAGCAAACCTTTTTTTTTTTTTTTTTTTACCTACAATGACATTTACTTTATGCCTCTCTGTGGAGTATGTGATTTCTCTGAATCATCTGTTCCTTGTAGGAAGCAGAGATGGGGGCTTATTTGTCTTTTTATTACCAGTACCTAGCCTGAATACTGGCACATAATGAAAATACATGTAGTATTTTAAGTTGAGTCAAGTCTTAATTTGGGACATTTTCAGCATTATTTGATAAGCCCAGGTAGTGAGCCTGCTAATTTTTCACTAGATGGCAGTAGCTGCTCTGAATGAGTGTTAACTCTGGTGTGCTCTGCGTCCTGGTGGCTTAGACAGGACAGGTCTTCAGCGAGCATCTGTTGTGTGCCACTTGAACAGGGCTGTGGAACCCAGGAATCAGACTCAGATTACCATGCTCTTTTCCAATCTTTTCTACTTCCTCAGTTGATTAAACCTCTGGAAGAATTTTAGTTAAACTGAAAAGCAGTCTCTACCATTGACACTAAACGTGATTTTATTTGTAGAATCCATATTCGTTAATGACCACCTACATTATCATCGTTTGATAGCTTTATTTTTCACGCTGTGATGTGCTTTGCCAAAGTTTAAGGCAATGTATGCCTTTCCGTTCCTAGACAAATTTTGTTATATACCTTGCTTGTTGATCAAAAGCACGTGGTGTTTATCATTCTGTTTGTCTACACAGCACCTGGTATGTTACTGATGTGCAGTAAAGGTCTGCAATATAGGTTACAAATCCTGTAGAAGAGCATTTTTCCCTTAAATCTTTTAAAAATATGGGAATGAAAGGGTGGATGAGTTAGTAAATTTGGGGCTAATATTCATAGTGGTGGTAGTAGCTGACATTTATCAAACATTTACTGTGTATCCCCTCCTCTTACAAGCACTTTACATAAATTATCTCATGCAGTCCTCCCAAAACCCCACGAAATAGATGTCATTATTGTCCTCATTTTGCAGATGATGGAACTGAGGCATAGGGAGATGAAGTCATTTGCCTGAGGTCACACAGTTGGTAAGCAGGACAGCTTACCAGGCTGTCTGGCTCCAGAGCCCATGCTCTTAAAACATTAAGCTGTCTGTCACAGCTACTTATTTAGTCTTTGCATTTCCTATTTCATGAAGTAACTTAAATTAAGAAGGTAGCTGGAGGGGCTGGCCCTGCGGCCCAGTGGTTGAGTTCACGTGCTCTGCTTCCACGGCCTGGAGTTTCGCAGATTTGGGTCCTGGGCACAGACCTAGCACCGCTCATCAGGCTATGCTGGGGCAGTGTTCCACATAGCACAACCAGAAAGACCTACAACCAGAATACACAACTACATGCTGGAGGGCTTTGGGGAGAAAAAGAAAAAGAAAAGAAAAGAAGATTGGCAACAGATGTTAGCTCAGGGCCAATCGTTAAAAAGAAAAATAGAAGGTAGCCAGATATTCCTGTGGTAAAATGTATTTGTTTTCAATTTTAATATTTAGGAGGACCCCTTAAGATTAAAAGGAACTTTGGT